AGCCAAAGTCCCAAGAGATTGGAATGACCAGCTGCAGGAGCCGTGAGCTACGAAACACCGCCTTCCGCTCCCGGCTGGTGCTCGCCAATCGGAACCCGGCTCTTACGTCATTTCCCCCAGAAGGCAAAGGGAACGTTGGGCGGAAGAGGGTCCGTGAGCGGACCCGGAAGGGGTGGGTTCGGTGGGCGGGTTTCATCTGCTCCGAGCCGCGTGGAGGCCCAGGTAGGTAGGTGCGCAGCGGTCGACCGCCTTTGCTCGGCTCTTCGGATTTGTTTGGTCCCAGCAGAGGCCTTCGTGGTCCTAGCAGCAGACGAGGCAGGGGGATTTGGGGCCGGTCTTGAGGGTCGAGGAGCACCTGGATTATTATGAGTCCCAGGAGGACGCGGCCGGACGCCAGAGGTTCACCGGTGACATGTAAAGCGGGTTGACCGTCGTCTGCAGGGCTCGCTTAAAGATGGTCTGGCAGCGTGGTGGGTGTCCGGAACCCCCACCTCAGACTCTCCTGTCTAAAGACTTGGTTTAGGGACGTCTGACAGTTCTGTTACCGCGGTCCAGCCTTCCAGCGCATCATAGAAGCATGTTTTAGGGTACTGTGGGTTAGGAAGCAGGGGTGGTAGGAGCGTAGAGAAAGGTTAAATTGTGAACTCTCTCCAAAAAGAGTAGAAATAGATGCATGTGAGACACAAGTGACCAGCACTGATATTGATACTATACAAAAGACTTGAGCCTCGAAGGAAATGGGTCTCAGAGGAAAACACTTAGGGAGACGGGAGAATGTACGTTATTCTAAGTACAGTGTGAAGGAAGGCAAGGTAATAGGACAAGGAGGGAAACCAACTAGCCTGACAGACAAGGTTATGCGAGATGTAAAGAGGAATAGGTAGGATGAATTCTTGGGAACTATGGTTTGGCGCTTACAGGGCTTCGGGGTAGGAACAGCATGTTTGAAAAGATTAGTCAGGTAGTATTAATGACTTTTAAAAAGGAAAGAATGAAAAACATGGAGGTGGGACTGCTACATAGAAAATTAGTGCAGGAACCCAGTGATAAAGAGCTGAAACAGAAAGAAGTGGAAAGAGAGAAAGGACCCTATTTCAGAGAAACAAGTTTCTCAAGAGAGAGGACAGAGGCAAAGAGAAGTAGTTTAGTGGTTAAAAGAAGAAATTTGTTGGAGTTTAGATTCTAACCTGGCTTTGACATTTAAAACCAATTGAATGATGTTGAGCTAGCTATTTCGCATCTCTACCTAGATTCCTTGTCTGTAAAATGGGGTAAGAATGGTACTGTGCAAGGTACTAGTGAAGGACTTTTAAAAGTGCTTTACATGTATTAGGGCTTCCCTGGTAGCTCAGTTGGTAAAGAACCTGCCTGCAATGCAGGAGACCCTGGTTTGATTCCTGGGTTGGGTAAATCCCCTGGAGAAGGGATAGGCTACCCACTCCACTTTTCTTGGGCTTCTCTTGTGGCTCAGCTGGTAAAGGATCCGCCTGCAATGAGGGAGACGTGGGTTCAATCCCTGGGTTGGGGAGATCCCCAGGAGACAGGAAAGTAAACCCACTCCAGTATTCTGGCGGAGAATTCCATGGACTGTATCGTCCATGGGGTCACAAAAAGTCGGACACAACTAAGTGGCTTTCACTTTACATGTATTAACCCATTTAATTAACTCAACTACTATATGCAATTATCTGCACGTTTACTCAGTTATATACATTTTATGTATTAGTTACCAGATAGTAAGCACTCTTAAAGTATTGGTTGCTTAAATAATATTATTAACGAGCCACAGGTTACTACAAAGTTTTGCATCTGAATGGGTTGGAGAGTTGTGTGTCGCAGAGTCAGAAAAAAAATGAATAGGGCTCAGGAAGCAAGTTAGTTTTGTTTTTATACATACTGAATGTGACACTATAAGGTATTTGGATGGAGATGTCTGATAAGTTCTCAGAGCTCCGTAGTTAGTATTGTGTCTTTGGGCAGGACTGGAAATAGAGATGCGGGAGTCCCTGGGCCTAGGCATGCTATATGAAGTCTCCAGGGAAAGTACTGTGGTAGATGGCCAGAGACTACCAAGAAACAATTAGAGTTAAGGGGCTGGGGCCAGGAGAACAGACAAATTGGGAAAGAATCAGTCAAATGGCCTAGGTTAAGAGCATTATTGCCATGTTAATATTATCTTTCCTTCATTTTTAACTGCCTTTATGTTGGTTCCTAGAAGAAAAATGAAGCCAGTGGGTGGTCATTAAAATATCAGCGAAGAGGAATATTAGCAAAAGCATTGAATATTTCCCTGTTAAAGTAGACTAAAACAAGAGGTTGTACTCTGAAAGAGACACCGTGTAGCATTAAACCAAACTGAACTACCACCATCAACAAAAAAAAACAGCTCTGAAAACTGTTTAGTATTGTGGTTTTTAGTTGCACAGGTGTTTCAGGGAATACTTTTCGTATTTCCATACAACAGACAAGCTTGTTATCTGCTTCACCTGTTGTCTCTTTCCTCCATAATCAAGTGTTTCCAGTGAATTTGATTTAGTGCTGCTGCTGCTAAGTCGGTTCAGTCATGTCTGATCTGTGTGACCCCATAGTTGGAAGCCCACAGGCTCCCCCATCCCTGGGATTCTCCAGACAAGAACACTGGAGTGGGCTGCCATTTCCTTCTCCAATGCATGAAAGTGAAAAGTGAAAGTGAAGTCGCTCAGTCATGTCCGGCTCTTAGCGACCCCATGGACTGCAGCCCACCAGGCTCCTCCGTCCATGGGATTCTCCAGGCAAGAGTACTGGAGTGGGGTGCCATTGCCTTCTCCATTGATTTAGTGCAGTTGTTACCAGACCAAACTTGGATCCACTCACCTGTGAGCACTCAGGCTAATCTCCTGACATGGGGTTGTGGTGAGGGAGAGTGCAACATTTATATTGTGAGCCCAAACAAGGAGAAGGTGGGGTGGGGTGGGGTGGGGTGGGGGGGAGTGGAAGGAGGCAATCCGCGTGCACACACACACAACTGGCTTTCAGGGAAAGGTTTTTAAAGACAAAATGAGGGAGAGGAGGTGGGATGTGTAATCAGCTGGTGGACCTGATAATTGGGAATCAACACCATCAACCTGGTGCGGCCAGTTTTGGGTGTAAATGCTGGTGGTCAGCATGCAGTTAACTTCTTCCTCCTGTGGGGATAGCAATATCTGAAAAATAGCTCAAGGACGTGACTCAGTATTGGAGAAGGCAGTGGCACCCCACTCCAGTACTCTTGCCTGGAAAATCCCATGGACGGAGGAGCCTGGTAGGCTGCAGTCCATGGGGTCGCTAAGAGTCGGACACAACTGAGCGACTTCACTTTCACGCATTGGAGAAGGAAATGGCAACCCACTCCAGTGTTCTTGCCTGGAGAATCCCAGGGACAGGGGAGCCTGGTGGGCTGCCGTCTATAGGGTCGCACAGAGTCGGACACAACTGAAGTGACTTAGCAGCAGCAGCATGACTCAGTATTATCTGTATAGCCCTTGAGAGGAAACTAAAGGTCCTTGATTTTGTTTAATGGCTGAATTATTAATACTTTGTCTTGATTAATTTCTTTGTTTCTGCATTTTCTCACTTTTGATTAAATTTGCTCTTTGGAACTCAGGGAACTTTAGGAGGCTAAAGTTTTTCTGTTAGGAGGCAGGTGGAGGGGAGTATTGTCTGACTTAGCAATTTCGGGCTTCCCCCCTGCCTCAGTCCATAAAGAATCCACATGCATTTCGGGAGACCTGGGTTTGATCCTTGGGTTGGGAAGATCCCCTGGAGGGGAACATGGCAATCCACTTCAGTATTCTTGCCTGGAGAATCCCCATGGACAGAGAAGCCTGGCGGGCTACACTCCATGGGGTTGCAAGGAGTCAGATATGACTGAGCAGCTAGCATGCAGCACACGCATAGTGTCCCACTCAGTCACACAGGAACGATGGCATCTGTCAAAAATAGTGTGCAATTTGTATTATTTGTGCCAAGGGAAGGTGGCTGCCCTGATGTAGAAATCAAGGATCAACCTACACATATAGTACTTCTCAAAATGAGGAACTGCAGCAGCATTACCTGGCATCTTGTCAGACTTGAAAAATCTTGGGCCCCACCCCAGACCTACTGAAACAGAAATAGACACTAGGGAGGTGAGGTGGAGGTGGTTCCTACTATCTTTTCATAACCACTTGGGTGATTTAGATACAGTCTGGAGTTTGAGAGCTGCTGCGCCCAAAGATAAGTGACATGAGATGAGGCATTTTTGTTTTACTCAACACCATATCTCTAGCATCTAGATCAGTGCCTGTCTAATTATTAGTAGGTTTACAATAAATGCTCATTGATAAATATTTTCAGTCTTAGATTATCAATCTCAGTGTAAAATCTTTGGTAGTTGAACTTGGGGGGCAGAAGCAAATTGTTCAGGTGCATTGAAGCCTAAACAACTCGATATTTGTGAGGTGGGCATGACAGTGTGACCAGTTTGAAACTTGAGGAATGAAAGATGACATGTTGAGTCACCCATGAATAAAAATGAAGCTGTTCAGGTATTTTATGTCAATGATATATTCAGAGTAAATGAAGGTTTAGCAGCCATGGGGTCAAAGGCTTTTAAGCACATGATGAATAGCTGTTACTGTTACTGCTAAGTCGCTTCAGTCGTGTTCGACTCTGTGCGACCCCATAGATGGCAGCCCAGCAGGCTCCCCCGTCCCTGGGATTCTCCAGGCACGAATACTGGAGTGGGTTGCCATTTCCTTCTCCAATGCGTGAAAGTGAAGTCGCTCAGTCGTTTCTGACTCCTAGCGACCCCATGGACTGCAGCCTACCAGGCTCCTCCGTCTGTGGGATTTTCCAGGCAAGAGTACTGGAGTGGGGTGCCATTGCCTTCTCCGGATGGAGAGCTGGTGTTCACCAACTCAGCAGAACCTAGGTGCCTGAAGTACTAAGTCTTCTTTGTTTGTAGGTGCAGCTGCATCACTTGCGGTATCAGATGTTAAAACATGGGACTCACCAAGCAGTACCTGCGCTATGTTGCCAGTGCCGTCTTTGGGCTTATTGGCAGCCAGAAAGGTAACATTGTCTTTGTGACACTTCGTGGTGAAAAAGGACGCTATGTGGCAGTACCAGCGTGTGAACATGTTTTCGTCTGGGACTTAAGGAAAGGAGAGAAGGTAAGCCAGCAGTCATCCAGGTTGATACTGATTTATGGGTATTTGAGGGTGGAGGCAGAAGTGGGAGAGGTCTGTTTTATTATGCACAGATTATATATTTTTTAATGTGTGCGTCTCTAGAAATTGTTTTTTTAAATCTTTGGATCTGGATAGCCAAGTATTGTATTGTGAAATAGAACACAATAGAAAGATTCTTTTGTGTTCTTACACAGTGGAGAAGATTCTATTGTGTTCTTCTACACTAAACTCTGAAAAGCACAACCAAATAGGAGCTTATCTCTTAGGTATTTCTTTGTAGTGATGTTTATAGGTAATTATTTGTAATCATTATTCCCAGCATGTTTGTTTTTCTCTGCCAGTTCTCCACTTTTCAAGTTCTACTTGCCCTCAGAACCAATTGTAGAATTGTTATAGTTGTTTTAGTCGCTAAGTCATGTCTGACTCTTTTGCAACTCCATAGACTGTAGCTTGCCAGGCTTCTCTGTCCATGGGATTTTCCAGGCAAGAATACTGGAATGGGTTGCCACTTCCTTCTCTAGGGGATTTTCCCAACCCAGGAATCGAACCTGCATCTTCTTCATTGCAGGCGGATTCTTTACCCCGAGCCACCAGGGAAGCTCAGTTATGGAATATTAGGCATTTAAAAGGAATATATTGATTGAATCTTCTTATGCAGATGAGGCCAAAGGCTTGTTAAACTAGCCTTTGATATTTTGTATAACTGAATTCCTAAGCCTACCACTTCTGCCACACCAAATACAGGCATTTTGATCTTGTCCACTCTCTTTGAGATTCCCAAGAGGTTAATACTTTGATCCTTATTGTCCCTCAAAGTCCCGTGGGGAGAAACCACTGTAGCACTCTAGTGCCATGCACATTGGTTTTTGAGATGGGGCTCAGTTAAAGCAAGGATGTGTTTATAAGCCTTTATGGAAAATCATTTGGTGTTGACGTAGAATAAGGACTTAGTAATTTATTCCTTTGCCTGGGAAATTTTGACATGTATTATGCTAATGTAGAGCTTTGGAGAAATAGTGTAGTATATCTTTACCTTGGACTTAGTAATTTATTCCTTTGCCTGGGAAATTTTGGCATGTATTATGCTAATGTAGAGCTTTGGAGAAATAGTGTAGTATACCTTTACCTTTTCTTGACTGTTTCATTACCTAGTGAAAATAGTAGTTTCTATATTAAAGAACTTGAAACCGACTGCAGAGTTTCATTATTATTCATAAGAGCGATTTGGAATTATTGATGCTTTTAATTTCACCGTGCCTGATTGGTCCCATGCTTTTTCCTTGATGACATGCTTAACTCCTCTGCGTTATTTTCAATCTTTATTATTTCAGATCCTCATCCTTCAGGGGCTTAGACATGAAGTCACTTGCTTGTGCCCCTCCCCAGATGGGCTGCACTTAGCTGTTGGTTATGAGGATGGATCTATCCGAATCTTCAGTCTCCTGAGTGGAGAAGGAAATGTGACCTTCAATGGACATAAAGCAGCCATCACATCCTTGAAGTATGATCAACTAGGAGGCAGACTGGCTTCTGGATCCAAGGTGAGACCTTGAATTAGGTGCCCAGACTTTGATTTGCCAAAGGAGCATGAGACTAATGCTGAAGCAGGTTGTTCACAAAAATCGTTGGCTGAAACAGTGGGCACTCTGTGTACAAAATAGTATCAATGGTAGTATAGAGTGAGATGGATTTGAATTGGGTGGTCCATTTTGTTTCCTATCAGATTCTCTGATTAAAGCCTGTAAAATATAGGAACAAGATGAGGCTGTCCATGATAATTACCATGTGACATCATTGTACATATGCCTACCCAAAACAGTACACACGTGGGTGGATGAGACATATTGGAAAGGCAGAGTCAAAATGATGCTTCTTGGCCATTCCTTTTGGTAAAATATCTCACTTTCCTATATCTCAGTCATCAGTTAGAAAATAGAATGTAAATGATTCCATTTACAATTGTGTGTTAAGTAATGGACACAAAAATACTGTGAAACTTTACTGAAGAATGTAACAAAGACTTGAATGAGTAGAGAAACGAGCCATGTTCTTGAATGGCAAGACAAAGTGTTGAGATGATACTCTTATGTTCTAATTAGTTATGTAGATAAAACAGATTAAATATATCAAAGATTTTTTTGTCTTTTTTTATTATGACCAAATGATTTAAAAGCACATGTGTAAAAACAAATGAGTAATAAACAGCACAGCTTTGGGAAAAATTAATAAAACGGTTTCAGATTTTTTTTTAGGGTTGGATTTTTTTTTTTAAGAGGTTTCAGATACTACAATGCATTATGAAGTCATAATTTATAATATGTTGTATCAAGCTGGCATTAATACAAAATAGTCAGATTATTGCAACCAAATGGGAATGCTAGAAACATATCCACTTGATATACCTAGTTAGTGTGTGTGTGTGTGTGTGTGTGTGTGTGTGTGTGTATTTCCTAATTAGTTTATTTTAAAGGTGATATTTTTGAGTAGAAAAATGATGGATTACTTCTGAAGTAGTACTTAAACAATTGGCTCACCACGTAGGGGGGAATTTTAAGTTAAAACTTTACCTCATGCCATGTACCAAAATTCTCAAAAGACTTAAATATTAAATCGTGGTATTTTAAGTAAACTAGAAGATACATAAATTAATATCAAGGCGATAAAATATCTGATACCAATCTGATAAAAAAACTTCAAGCCTATCGGTAAGGAAAAAAATTAGAAAGGAGAATTTGAATGCTTAATATTTGAATATTTACAATGTATTTTAAAACATTAAAACAATATAAGAAATTTGTTAAGAGTAAATCCTAAGAGTTTTCATCACAAAGAGAAATTTTTTCTCTTTTTAATGGATTTAAAGAAGAAGATGGGTGGTAGCTGAAACTATTATGGTAGTCATTTCACAATATATGTAAATTAAACCATCATGCTGTATGCCTTAAACTTATACAGTGATATATGTCAATCATTTTTAAGTAAAACTGGAAAAAATAAAGGATAATGAAAAAGGGAAAGTATTTAATTGTTCTAGTCTAAAAGGCAAATATTAATATCATGTCTTAATAGCAACAAACAAGTAGTAAGACCCAAAGGAAGAGGAAAGACATGACTTGACAGTTCATAGGAGGTACAGAAAGGCCAGTAATCACCATTGAGCATGTACAGAATTTCTCATTGGTATTCAGAAATGCAAATCAAATATTGAGGTAGCCTTTCAACTTGTGAAATTGGCAGTGGTTTTTGATCAACTGATAATACCCAGTGCTGAAGGGAGAGAAAACTGGCCTTCTCACACATAGCCCCTGTGGACTGTTAGATTGCTGCAACCTTTCTGGAGATCACCCTGAATTGCAAATTAAATCCATTAAAATTATTATTCTATTTAAAAATATTAAAATAGAAAAAATACCTTTTAACCCAAGAATGTCCCTTTTTAGTCTTTATTCTGATCAGAGATATATAAAAGATTGATGTACACGAATGGTCGTTTCCACAATAGCAGAAATTGGTAACTACCTAAACGGCTGAAATAGAAAAAATTTTAAATAAATAATAATACATCCTTAAGGTTGGGTACTACATGACTATAAAAATGAGAAGAGTCTTTGATGACATGGAAATAGAGAAATATATTAAAGGAGGAAAGGTTCTAAAATGGTAGTAATAGCGTGATCTCAGTTAACAGCATGTATGTACACATAAAGACTGGAGCAGTGTACAAAAAATATTTATGTTGATCATGTCTGGGTGGTGAAATCGGCTGGCGTTTGTTTCTTCTCTGTTTTTCTGTATGCTTCCCAAGTTTTCTATAAGAACTACATATCAACTTTCTAATAAGAATATTACACCCTATTGTTTGTCAAGTTAGGCCTTATGTGATAAAGAAAGTTCTTCTATGTGATTTGATTCCTTTAGGACACGGATGTTATCGTGTGGGATGTGATCAATGAAAGTGGCCTCTACCGTCTAAAGGGACACAAGGATGCCATCACACAAGCATTGTTTCTACGAGAGAAGAACCTGCTGGTTACGAGGTAAGGTAGCAGTAACAGTTTCACGTCCAGTTCTTTTTCTAGGTGAATTCACAGAAGGAGTTTGCTTGATTGCTTACTCGTTTCTTCACACTACACTCAAGCTCATGTGCTAGTTTGCTCTTCTCTCTGCTTCCCTCTCCTCCGGCCTGCCCTCCCCAACAGTATCACGGATGCTATGCAGAGTTCTTTGTAGCGTTTTTTAATTCCCTTTTCTGATTTGTCATTGTTTCCCCCTGATATCAGCTTTTCCATGTTCCTTAACTCTTTGACAGATGCATGAACTGTCTACTTTCTGGATCCCTAGAAAGTCAGGAAAACTGAATATGGAACAGTGGACAGGCAGATATGACTACTAAATGTTCGTTTTAGCCTGCCTCTTTAAAAGAGATTTATTTACTCCATACTTAGGGCTCCTGAACATCTAATAGGTTGAACCATTTGTATAGGTTAAAAGTGATATGTCAGATACCACCAATTTCATATAGTTCAGCCTAAATGTAATAGCTACCATTCCTAAGGAATGGCTACCCAGGAATGTTTGAGATCTGAAATTTTGCCAGGCAGTAATTAGAAGGACCATAGTAATTAGCAAGAACCACAGAAGAACCAGAAGCGGTGTAGAGGAGCAGCACAAAATACTGTCCAAGTGGTGGATTTGTCCCTGTGGGGTAGGATACAGGGGTGGTGGTGTGTCTTGTTCAGATAACATGAGGCACTGACTCTGGAGTTGTGCTAGAATATACATACACCTGATAGCTTAGGGGATGTAAGGAAAAGGAAATGACACCAGGAGGTAGGATTGTATAGGAGAGGTTTTGTAAATCGGGTTTTAGGGTATTTCCAGTTTTAATCCTGGTACCAGCATTATGGTAGGTTTCTACTGGTGAAGAAGCAGAGAACAGGCATTTGAGGCAGGAAGAGTAGAGCCTGTTGGCAGGGAGATTAAGAGCCATTTAATGGGAGGTTTGGGGAATGGTGCCAAAGAGCTTGATTTTGATTCCATAGAGAATCTTGAGTTAGTGCAAAGTTAGAAAATTGAAATTATCTGCCATTGGTGTACTGGATGTGATGAGGCAACAGGAATAGACAGAGACCACGTAAGTTACTAAAATATAATTCAGGCAATAGGACTTAGATTCAGATTTGTGTACAGAAATGGATTGGAAGGAATCAAGGCTTAGAGACTTCCCAGAGGAGGCATTTTCAGGACCTGGAGACTAGCTGAACATTGGAAGACAAGGGAGCAAGAGAGGCTATGCTGTTTCTGAGTTAGACAGTATGAAGGAATGTTGATGCTGTGGCTGTGGAAATGATGTGTAACAGCCCAAGTTTTATGTTCTGTAGCACTCTGAATTCAAAGTTATTTTTGGAACATTTTATTTTTCTACCTGAGAATAGCCATATAGAGAATTAGGATTCTTTTTTTCTTACCCCCCCAGCAAAAATGGATTTATTTAGGATCAGCAGAGAATTGCGATTTCATTCCCACTCAGCAAGGGAAAAAGAACACTTTTATAGAGGGGAAAGGAAGTTGGGTGGCTATAATCAGCAATGAGTCCATGGCTTTTCATTGACTTGGTTCTTGCCAGGAAAGAAGGGGAGTGTTTTGAGAGTTAGGATTCTCTTTTTAAAAGAAAGGTAAACTCTAACATTAGACATCATTGCTGTATATTATGTTTTTTTAAGGCAACAAATGAGTCCTTGATCTTCATATTCATTTGATTCTTCCTAATAAGATTTTTTTTTCCTATTTCTTCTTTTAGTGGGAAAGATACCATGGTGAAATGGTGGGACCTTGATACCCAGCACTGTTTTAAAACAATGGTTGGCCACCGAACTGAGGTACGTGTAGGGTTATGGGGCCAGGGAAAGAATGGCAAGGTAGAAAGGAAGAGAGGATTTCTTTACTGCTAACAATAATCGGTACATATTGTCTTGAGAGAAGTTGGTATGGTAGACAAAGTGCCAACCATCAGAGCAGATAGAGCTACTCTGGCATTTGTAAATATTGGCTTTACATTAGTTTTTAACCATGAATATGGGTTTCATCACTTTAAATTATTGAGTGTCCACATTTATGATTGTAGGGAAGTATAGTGATACTTCCCTACAAGCAAGTGCCTGACCTGGTGAACATAGATATGTTCCATAGAGATCAAGGAATATTTTACATCTTTGCATCCTCTGTGCTTTGTTCATATTAGACAGAGGTGAAGGTGAATTAGAGGTAAAAACTTCCAGTTGTGGGATGTAATGCATATACAGGGCACATAGTCAATAATATTGTAAAAATTTTGTATGTCAGTGGAATGGTAACTCTTCTTACTGTGGTGATCATTTCAGAATATATAAAAATTGAATCATTGTGTTGTATGCCTTTAGCTAATGTAATATGTATGTTAATTATAACTCAGTTATATAGATTTATGTGTGTATATATATATGTATGTGCATGTGTATATACACCCTAGAATGTATGAGGAATATACACATCCTAGAATTAATGAGGAGGAAAAGCAAATTCGACTTTTTTGTTGATTTGCAACAATACTGTTATTTTCAGTTTATTCATGCATGTTTGAGTCTAAAAATGATACTCTGATAGATGTTAATGGAGCACCTTTTATTTGTAAGCACTGCTGAAAGCAAAGAAGTGCCAGACTTAAAATTAACACTTGAGTGGCTTCTAATTAGGATTTATTCTGAACAGCCATTATCTAAATTTAAGGATAGGAAATTACAGAGAAACTGCTAGCAACCACATAAACAACAGTTCTACCCTAGATCATTTTGTTTCTAAAAGTGAGCTTTCTTTTAGTGTCTTTAGAAAAGGTTGCAGTATATTAGACTTTCCAGTGCCAAAGTGATTTGACTACAGTGTACTTAGATTTTGGGGATGTTGTGTCCTGGATTTCCTTAAATCATATTATTTGAATCTTTTTATGCTCTGTAGGTGTGGGGGTTGGTTCTGGTGTCAGAAGAAAAGCGACTCATCACTGGGGCTTCTGACAGTGAACTGAGAGCTTGGGACATATCTTATCTACAAGAGGTAATTGCTTATTTTCTGATCACGGGCAGGGTCATGTTTCAGCAGTTACATAGTTTTGTTGAATTTAGAATCAGATGTAATTACTAAGTACTTACACATTGTATTGGAATTTTCTCTTACTGATAACCTGTGACTTCCACACAATTTTGTTTCCTTCATTCTGTGTTTTATTTCTGTGCTCATTTGCACTTGGAAGAAGGATAGCTTTAGGCTTACAGCTCTCAGCAGTGTTAATGTTTTAGTTTATTGGGCTCTTGGCTTGATACTCCTTGATCTTTGGGTGTCCATGGATGGACTTCAGGATATCTGTGACCCTTTTCTCTCAAATATCTATGTAGAATTTCTGTATGTTTATATAAATACATATATTCAGAGAAGATCTATAACTTTTTCTTGGATCCTCAAAGATTTTGTGTGGATAAAAGGTGATGTACCTTTTATCCAGGGTTTCACTGGGGTGAGATATGTGCTGGTGTACCCAGTAGCCGTTCTGATGGGTTGGACATTAGTAGGCTGGAGTTTATCTTTTCTTTATATGAGAAGAAAATGTAATCTCCAATACAGTGCGTTTGCTATTTGTAATGCCAGTTTGAATCCTTCCTTCTAGAATATGGTAGATGTTTCACCTAAGAAGGTTTTAAAATTAATGAGGTCATCATTTTTTTCACTTTGTCATGGAACAATAGTCCTGATACTATGGGAAGTTATTAAAACTAGTATGATGAGTAATGTTTTGTGTTTGATGTAGTCTGTTTTTAATATATTCTGATAAGTGTGCTTCCATCAAAGAGGCTTGATCAGAGAGGTCACTAAATGGAAGTTATCAGTAGCAATGAAGACAGGTTTCTAAGTCATTAGGGGTAAGAGTCACCTCCTGGAACTAATTATTTCACTTCTTATTTTCCTATTTCTATAAAAACAGATTGAAGACCCAGAAGAACCAGAACCCAAGAAAAGCAAAGAGTCTTCTCCTGGTATACAGGACTCACATGAAGCAGACGATGGTACCCTTGAGATGGATGAAGCACCTGAGGATGTAATTCATTTTTGTTTCTTACTTTCAGTTGAGTTGAATGTTGGGAAGATATTCATTTTAGGGATGATCTTTGTCACCTGCATTTCTTGGAATCCTGTCTTTTCAGGGGTCAACAGAAGTAACTGTTTAGCTTTACCTTTTCTCTTGCTTCTTCTGCAGCGCATCCTTACATGCAGAAAAGCTGGATCCATAATGCGGGAAGGAAGGGACCGAGTTGTGAACCTTGCAGTTGACAGGACAGGCAGGATTCTTGCTTGCCATGTGAGTATCAGGCTCAGGAGAAAATAACAAGGACTCCGCTGTTCCTTTCAGAGACTCGTTTAGTATTTGGTGTGGACGTGAATTTTTCTTTGGTCCTTTTAAGATTTCATTATATGGTACTTTGTGGATCTATACTCCGTAGCTTCTGTTAGCATAACAGTAATTGCTATTATCACTGTTATTATTAGCAAACACTGATTAAATCCCTGCTTTTCTAAACAATTTAAAAGCATTAGCTTCTTATTTAGTCTTCAGAGGAACACTGTAGAAAGTAGTATATTTCCGCTTTACAGATGAGACAACAATTGCAGAGAGATTAAATTGTCTATGGTAATACCAATAGGGAAGAAAAAGAAATGTCCTTATAGAGAAAAAGCTAAATTAACAGGTTGCCTCTCCTGGACTCACATCAGCCTTTTCTTTTTCTAGGGAACCGATTCTGTGCTAGAAGTGTTTTGTATCCTTTCCAAAGAGGAAATTCAGAAGAAAATGGACAAGAAGATGAAGAAAGCTAAAAAGAAAGCAAAGTGTGTCTTTTTAATATTTACTTCTTAATATTTACAATAAAGTACCCTGGGTGGGCCACATTGTACTGATAGAAAAACTGGGGCTTCTTTAAAGGAATATTTACTCCATTTCCAATTACCATTAAATGCTAGGAAAGGTTTTAAGGTGTGCTGGTAGTCCAAGTTTTAATTTCTACATATAGTTTTTAACTTACCATATTCCTAGATCTTGCACCGAGAACCACACAGAACTAGAAAGACAGTACAGATATTTAAACATAGCTTCTAAATAATTTGGTTTCCCTGATAGCTCAGTTGGTAAAGAGTCTGCCTGCAATGCAGGAGACCCTGGTTCGATTCCTGGGTCTGGAAGATATGCTGGAGAAGGGATAGGCTGCCCACTCCAGTATTCTTGGGCTTCCCTTGTGGCTCAGCTGGTAAAGAATCTGACTGAAATGTGGGAGACCTGGGTTCGATCCCTGGGTTGAAAAGATCTCCTGGAGAGGGGAAAGGGTACCCACTCCAGTAATCTGGCCTAGAGAATTCCATGGACTGTATAGTCCATGGGGGTCGCAAAGAGTGGAACACAACTGAGTGACTTTCAGTATTCTAAAGGATTTAATTCTGAGAGGCTAGCAGTGTGTCTTCAATGACAGCAGCCTATACAGAAGGGGACTGGGTTGCTTGGTGCTGACCTGTGGGACTGTGAGAAGGAAGACTGGTTGGACAGTTACATAATTGAAGTTTAGGACAGTATCACCTTATATAGGTCATTATAACTATAGAAATCAGTTTCTCAGTGGTTGAAATTTATCAAGTCTCAAAACGTCATCCTTTCTTAAATTTTTTATTTGCTGGAGCAGATCTTGTGAGACCTCTGGTTTATTTGACATGGTTGAGTTGCTAAGTGTATACGAATGGATTTTCTTAAAAGTCCCAAAGATAGATAAGTTTACCAGAAACACTTCAGTGGAATAGTTTGAACTATGAATACTCATCCCTAGCAATTTTATGGACTTCTGCATTTGGCATCCATTTGTTAAGGGTACCTGTTAGATGGAATAATACTTTATATTAATTGCATTGTGGTTCACAATGCATTTCTACATACACTTCATTGTTTAATTTTCATGGTAATTCCATGTGGTTAAATGACTTTCCCACATGGGTTGTTGGTCTTGGACCAAAACTTGACTCAAGTAATAGCAAAACTTCTAAAAAAGTGATAGGATGATACTCTTTTTTTCTTTTCTCCTTTAGATTAAATTCTTGCAATGAGGAGGAGGAAGACCTTGAAGTCAATGTCAAAATGACTCTGCAAGATGAAATCCAACGGGTGGCTAATATCAAAGCTTCTGCCAAAATCAAGTGAGTGAAAATGTAGTAGCTGAAGTATCTGGAGTGTTGTAGAAATAGTAAGCTGCAAAGTTGTATCAGCTTTTCATGTTGTTTGTAAGCAGTCGCTACAAATTATGTCTGGACACAATGGTCTTGGGACTCAGCTTCTCCTGCTCACCATGGCCTCACTTATTCATCGTCTTCTATTTGTTTCATTATGATAGCCTTTTAGCTTTTCATTTATAGTTCTTTACTGCTTCTAATTACAAAGAAAAATGGATAGCCGTGTTCCAAAAGGATTTTAGGTCACTTAGAAAACATACACAGAAACAAATCAGATCCAGATCTGAGCTCAGGTTTCTTGGGCTTAGCCTGTACTTGACTACTGTCCAATACTCAGAGCACTCTTATAAGTAAAATCCTTTACACTTGTTAACTTACAAGTGGAGGGCACTGCAAAGCCTTTCTCCTGAAAAAAAGTTAACGCTGAAAATGAAGATGGTTGCTGGAACATTTGAACATCTGTGAATATTTTCTCATGCAGATCCTTTGACTTGATTCATACTCCTCAAGGAGAGTTAAAGGCAGTTTTCCTGCTGCAGAACAACTTGGTGGAATTATATTCACTGAATGCTTCCATGCCGGGGCCTCAGCCTGTCCGGACAAACAGAATTACCATCGGAGGTCATCGCAGTGACGTGCGGACTTTGGCATTCAGCTCAGACAATATTGCTATCCTTTCAGCAGCTGCTGATTCCATTAAGATATGGAACAGGTTTGTGAAGTGATGTCCTTCTGTAGCTCTACTCAGTAAAGTTTTCTTCCCTTTGAGTTAGTTTCTAGTACTCTTGATGAGTTTTCCTTAGGGCCCTAAGTACAGTCCCTTGAAAATGTATTTTCGGTGCATTTTTACTGTAGACCTGTGGAGTTTAGAGTACGAAACATTGCCTTTTTAGATTTGGTGCAAAAAATGCAAGTTTATTCCATGTCTAAAGCTTATTGTTGTACTTGGGTAGACACAAACATACCACCCACTCTAAATTCAAGTAGGCTTTTAGTGCTTTCCATTAACTTTATCTTGATTTCTAATTCCTCACTTTTCTAGATGACTGTCACACCTTCTTACTTCTCATACCTCACACTTCTTGCCCCTTTAAGCTGATGACCTTGTTTCCTAGTTCACTGAAGAAATCAATTCATTTCAGTCTCTCAGTTGTGTCCGACTTTGCAACCCCATGGACTGCAGCACGCCAGGCTTCCCTGTCTATCACCAACTCCCGGAACTTGCTCAAACTCATGTTCATTGAGTCGGTGATGCCATCCGACCATCTGAGCCTCTGTCATCCCCTTCTCCTGCCTTCAATCTTTCCCAGCATCAGGGTCTTTTCCAGTGAGTCAGTTCTTCGCATCGGTGGCCAAAGTAATGGAATCATCCAAAAACATTCATATGCTCCCATCACAACTGGCAATTTAGCTGCAGACTGGTGGTGCTCCTGACCAAAAGTTAATCACAACCTATATATATCTACTTCTACCAGTTTTCCTCCCTCTCTTGTGTCATTAATTTTCCTTTTGTTGGGTCATTCCTATCAGCATAAAGATATCTGAGGAGGCACTAGTGGTCAGGAACCTGCCTGCCAATGCAGGAGACATTAAAGAGACTTGGGTTCAATCCTTGGGTTGGGAAGACCCGCTGGAGGAGGCCATGGCAGCCCACTCCAGGTTTCTTGCCTGGAGAATCCAGTGGACAGAGGAGCCTGGTGGACTACAGTCCAGAGGGTCGCAAAGAATCAGACACGACTGAAGTGATTTAGCATGCATACATGCATACTATAATATCTCCCATCTTAAAAGAATATGCTGTCACATCCTTACCTCTCTGTCCAGTTATCTCTCCCATCTGCTGATCCTTTTCTTCATCAGGCCTTTATCCCCACCATTTCACCAAAGCAGCTCTTGTCATCTCATCAGTAGTCTTCGTGTTTTTAAATCCAGTGACCGATAAGCTTTGTCTGACACTCTCCTTGAATTGGTAACTTTTCTCCTCTTTGAAATACAGAATTTCATTACTTCCTCTTCTTCTGCTGGCTGTTTCTCCTCAGTCTTGGCTGAATCCTTTGTACTTTACTAAGCTGTAAATGTTGAAATGCTTTAGGGCAAAGTTTTTGAACCTCTTCTCTGTCTTCAGTTACTTTCTGTGCTCTCTAGTCAGGTGGCTGTCTGTGCTGATGACGCATAAATGTGTGTCTCTAGCCTCAGCCTCTGCCTAAACTTCAGACTCATAGCCAAATCCTTTTTGTATCACCCCTTGGATATCTAAGGGTTCCCTGGTGTCTCAGAGGATAAAGCGTCTGCGTGCAATGAGGGAGACCCGGGTTCGATCCCTGGGTTGGGAAGATCCCCTGGAGAAGGAAATGGCAACCCACTCCAGTACTTTTGCCTGGAGAATCCCATGGACAGAGGAGCCTGGCTGGCTACAGTCCACGGGATGGCAGAGTCGGACACGACCGAGTGACTTCACTCTCACTTTGGATATCTAATTAGGCATCTCAAACTTTTATATGTCTAAACCACATATAATTTGTGATCTTCATTTCTTCAAAAGCCTCCTCACCCTCTGTTCCTACAGACTCCCCCATCTTAGTAAATAACTACTTCCTGCAGTTGTTAAAAGCGCAAAGCCTTGTAGCCATTCTTGATTTTCTCTCTCATGTCCCATGTCTGATTCATTAACAAAACCTGTCAGCTCCATCTTCAAAATGTACCTGAAATTTCAACCACATCTCATCACCTTCACTGCCATGATTGTGTTCAGACCACCACCGCCTCTCATTGGGATGGTAATAGCTTCCTGACTGGCGTCCATGCTTCCTTACTTGCTCCCTGTGGTCTGTTCTCAGCAAGGCAGCCAATGTAATCTTTTTATCATGGAAGTTCCATCACTTCCCAGAGCTCCATCTAATGCTAACTGGATTCCGTCACAGCCCTTCCAGCCGCTGTCTCTCTCCACTCTCTCCGTCTCCACTGCAGCCCCGTGGCCTTTTCATGACCCCTTCCAGGCAGCAAGAACGTGCCCATGCTGTGGCCTTTGTGCTTGCTCCCTCTTCTTTCTTCCTGGAACCAGCTTCCCATTCGGCTACAGGCCGTCCTCCCTCTTGTCACACGGCCATCCTGCTGTCCCCCTCCTGCCGTTGCACTCTGAGTCCCCTTCCCCCAGCTCTGCGTTTCTCTTCTCCACAACACCTGCTTGCATCTGAGACACCCATACATGTCTCACTTCCAGAGGCTGTTAAGCTTTATGGAATTCAGGGCATCTTGTGTTTAACTCACTGTCTCATCTCCAGCACCTGGACCAGGACCTGGCATTCAGTACATATTGGAGGGAGTGGGTATTTGCTGAATGGGTGAATGTTAATGGTCCAATAAAATGAACTTGACTTGTAGGGATATAATATGCTAATTTGACTTAGTCCTCTGGGCTCACACACTTCTTTGTAGCAGCAGATCAGGTTCTTTTGAACCCAGCAGATGGCTTTTTTCAGCTCTGTTTTTGTAGAATCTGTTCCTTAGGATTGGGAACCTCCTATAAAGAAAACAAAGTTAGGGACCGTTTACTATTTTCTCCCTGACTATAATTAAGTCAAGAATCTGCCTGGCAGTGAAGGAGACATAAGAGACTCAGGTTCAGTCCCTGGGTCAGGAAGATCCCCTGGAGGAGGGCATTGCAACGCTCTCCAGTATTCTTGCCTGCAGAATCCCATGGACAGAGGAGCCTGGCGCGTACGGTCCATGGGGTCACGTGAGGTGAACACGACTGAAGTGACTTAGCACACATGTGTTCAGACTTTGTCTTCTCTTATGTTGATCATTGTGTGTGGCTAAGTATGTATTAATATTAAGTGCACATGCTGACTTTGCAGGTGGAGAAGCAGGTTCTCTTAACATGTGAGTTCTTTGTTCCTTCTTCCTCACAGATCTACGCTGCAGTGTATTCGCACAATGACCTGTGAATATGCGCTCTGCTCATTCTTTGTACCTGGTGATCGGCAGGTGGTCATAGGAACAAAGGTAAACAGGCTTTTCCATGGATTTAGGGGACTTTTCTGCTCAATATTCTTCAAGTTGGTTAGGAAACCTGTTTCCTTCGTTAGCATATGGGAAATGTATTGGAGCTGTATAATATGAGTGTGTGATAGTTCATTGCCCTTTTTTTGAGGTTTTTATTTTTTTAAGTTTTCTTTGTTTTTTTTTTTTTTGTAAACCAAACCATATGTTAAATTATGAAGAAAATTAAAATCATGACCCAAGATAGCTATCATTAACAATTTGGCAACCAGCCTTTCATGCATATTTTTATGAGCACACATGTAATTGTGTTTTGAGAAGACTAATAAAATACATTAAGTACCAGCATCAGGTGTGGCAGAGAGAAGCATTCAGTAAAGAGAGACCAAGTGACCAAGTCTTCAGCTGTAAATACATGGGGAGAGAACCATGAGGGAATGCACAAACGTGGATTTGGATTCAGATTCTTCCCCCTACAAAATGGGTAACTTGGAGCAAGTTGCATAAACTTCTCCTGTGTGTTTCGTTATCTGTATTAGATGAAGGCACATGCTTTTGACAGAGCCTTTTGTGCCAAATTGCCTGGGTTTGAATCCCAGCTCTTCTACTCACTAGCTATGAGTTGGGCAAGTTACTCCACCCTGTAAGCCTTGATATCTAAATGTAAAATATGTAAATAACCTACCTCACAGTCTGCAAAGCACTTAGCACAGAGACTGGCTTCCAGAAAATAACTAATAAGAGCTGGCAGTAGAAGTAGCATGAATGGTGATAGTTGGGGTTGTAGTGGGAATAAAGTGTAATAGGTCTGTGGAATATTTTGAAAAGTGCTTTGCAAGTATTTGTCTTGCAAATAAGTATATCTCCTTAAGATAAGTATATCTCCTTAAACCAATGCCATATGTGCATTTTATTAGAAAACCTGTTATCACAATAGATATTGTTTTTGCCCACCAAAAAGTATAAAATAAGTTCAAGAGTCAATGTCAGGGAACATTAAATTTTAGTTAAAAGTACCCTCATTTTTCATTCATTCACCAAATGTTCATCCACTATTAATCGTTTCAAAAACTATGTGTATGACTCAGAATCCCTAGCCTCGTCTCTGTGCTGGCCGTTAACATACATTATCTCATTTAATCCCCACAACTGGTTAGAGAGGTTATTAATATATAAACTCCATTTTTCAGCTGGAAAAACGGGCTCATGGAGATGAATTTACCCACAGTCAGAGTTAGAGAGAGGCAGCCCTGGGAGTCAAGTCTTCTGCTTACGTTCTTTCCACCACATGTTTACAGACTCACCATACCGCCTGCTTGGCCGCTGTGTGTGTTCTGTTCTATGCTGGTCCCAAGACCACAGTGTATACAGGGCCTAAACAGGAAGCGAGGCTGATAGTTTTCTAAGCTACCATGATTTTTTTTTCAAGTTCATTGTCCTCCCTAGCATTGTGGGTGGTATTTCTTCCTGTCAATGTATTCTAGAGGGGAAGCCAAAACTAGATGGAGAGGAGTTGTTAGTCCACTTAAAGGATTGATTACATTTTGAAGGGTTTTAAGTCCCCCACTTGCTATGAAGTTTACTCTGATACACCTCTGGCCGTGATGTTTCCCATTTGAAGCTGGGGGAACCAGTGGAAGTGACTGTAGTCCTACAGTACAAGGCTGTGCCATTCCACAGTTGCAGAGCACAGTGGAAGCCAGTGTGTCTGTAGGAGATTCGACAGCACTTGCTCCCAGAGGGAGTCCAGTAGGTAGGCCGTGGACGCCGCTTCCTGAGCGGTTGGCCCCGTTGTTGCTGCTTGATTGTGAAGCTGTCGGTGTGCGCTGTGGGGGTTACAGGCGTCTTCATCTTGTGTCTTCCATAGACAGGGAAGCTGCAGCTTTATGACTTGGCCTCGGGAAATCTGCTGGAGACAATAGATGCACACGATGGAGCTTTATGGTCCCTGTCTCTCTCTCCAGATCAGGTAACTGAACCAGATGTGACGATCTGGACTTGAGTACTCCAGCTGTACCGCCCATCTCTTATATCAAGTTCTGCTGCTGCCTAACAGGAATTTAAAGAAAGTCCACTCTTTGTGTAATCTCTATATATGGTGCCATATTTTATACCTGATAGTACGAAGAATTGTCACTATGATCTGAATTCTTGTTCAGCTGCTCTTGATAATGAGCTACATGACATCAAAATACTTATCCTCCTACATTACCAGTGATTTGTGATACTTCTTAAGAGGAAATATTTCCTTGGACAACACAGTGCAGAAGTTAGAGCAGTCTTTTCTGCTCCCCCTTCAGTCTATATATCTATGACCATACAAGTCTAGTGGTTTTTAGTCAGTTTGTGAGCTTTTTCCAGTCAACAGCAGCGTGTTTCCTTTCAAAGGAGTCAATCTGGAGGCCTTAAGTGGTGCTATTTGTTGCTCAGAACATTTTCAGATTTTTTTTGACAATACCTGAAGGGATTGTGGCCCATTTATTTTAATGTACTCAGTAGTGGCAAACCTGCATTCCCTGAAAGTAGATATTTTTGGGAAAAATGGAACCTGGAATTTAGATTGAGTAATGCCATTGGGGACAGAAATAAAGCAGCTTTTAAAATGTAAATAGTAGTTAACATCTGGGTTTTTGGAGTGTTCTATTTTCCAAAGTGTTTTCACATCCATCATGTCATTTACTATTATTTTCACAATGGTTTTATAAACTAGGTAGTCTTTATCTCTTTAGCAACACTAAGGATCATTGTAAGATTGTTTTCTTTCTATGTTACAGATCTCTGAAATGGCAGAATAGACATTTGAGATCTAGTTTTCTTACTCCATGTTCCTTACACTTTACACTAACCCTAAAATGTGATGAGACCAGTTTAATACTTCACAGCAAATTGTTTTGACTGTTGTGTTACCCTGTAGTATTGTTGAGTCTTTATTCCTGACACCCGATGAAAGTGTAACTAGAACTTTACATCAGATATCATCTGACTACATTAGGCACTACTAGGAGTTAGTTCTCAAATGAGACCTGTGGAGGGCAGCCCTGAAAGAACAAGAAAGGGAGTTAAGGAAAAACCACACGTCTTAATTCTTATCCCATGCCTTAAATAAAAATGGCCTTTTGAATTATTGTATTATTATTTATAGTATCAAAGTTTCTGTACTAAGATACTTTGCTAACAGAAATGTCCTTTTATTTTCAGCGTGGCTTTGTGACAGGTGGTGCAGATAAATCTGTCAAGTTCTGGGATTTTGAGTTGGTGAAAGATGAAAGCAGTACCCAGAAAAGGTGAGTAGACATTTTTTTTTTTAATTTGTGTCCATTTGTTGGAGTGAAAATGAGGCACCACTGAGTGGGTTTTTGACACATGTATTTCTCTTGAGCTCTAGAGGGAGAAGGCAGTGGCACCCCACTCCAGCATTCTTGCCTGGAGAATCCCAGGGACAGGGGAGCCTGGTTGGCTGCAGTCCATGGGGTCGCTGAGTCGGAGACGACTGAGCGACTTCACTTTCACTTTTCACTCTCATGCATTGGAGAAGGGAATGGCAACCCACTCCAGTGTTCTTGCCTGGAGAATCCCAGGGACAGGGGAGCCTGGTGGGCTGCCGTCTATGGGGTCGTGCAGAGTTGGACACGACTGAAGCGACTTAGCAGCAGCAGCTAGAGGGTCTTGGGATGTCTGCCTTTGTAGAGTACTCATTTTTCTCCATGCTTTCTGTGATGCTAGGCTTTCTGTGAAGCAAACCCGAACCTTGCAACTAGATGAAGAAGTCCTGTGTGTCAGTTACTCTCCCAATCAAAAGCTGTTGGCCGTGTCTTTGCTGGACTGCACTGTGAAAGTTTTCTATGTTGACACTTTAAAGGTACGATGGTTATGCCTATGGGTGTTTTCTTTCTGACTGAACTTGGGTTGAGACTATAGATGTGGCCTTGACTGTTTCCAGTAGTAGTAGTTTTTTGAAAGCTTGTTTGTGAATCCAAACATTGCAAGTACACTAGTAAGGATGGACTTCTGAAAGAATCCTTTGGTTCATCAATTTTGTTTAAAGCAAGTTATATTTCACATGTTTAGAAAAATCTGTGGACAGGAAATCTTGTTGTAGCCAGTAGTTTTAAGAGCATTGCTAGCTGTCCTAGGCAGTGATCCCACACTTGGCGGTACGTCAGGATCATTTGGGTTGCTATTGAAAATATGGATTACTGCGCTCTACACCCAGAGTCTCGGTGGAACTCTAGTAAGCCTGGACGTACTGTTGTGAACTAAGTGCTCCCAAGACTCTTCAGCTAAGAGATCCAGAGAGCATCTCTGTGCTGTGTTCTGACTGAGGGAGCAGGCCTTAGCAGCATCACGGACTTCACTATACTGCAGTGTTCTTGGCAAGAGCATGCAGGGTTTGTATGCTAAGTTGTATGGGTACAAGTGACCTTCAGTGGTTTGTTGTCTTCTTTGAAACAAACATAAAGCAGTCCAGGACAGTGTTTAGCACTGTATCTAGAGTTATAGTTTAGATCTACATATAATAAATTATGCCTGCATTTTATATACAGACATGAGTTATTTATATTCTTTTTTTTTTTTTTACTATTTAGTTTTTTCTCTCACTGTATGGACACAAACTGCCTGTCATATGTATGGACATCTCTTATGTAAGTAAAATTTATTTAAATAGTTTCTCAGTAACAAGTTATCTTTTCTAAACACTTTCTTTGTTCTAGGCTTGATAGCTTCATTTTAGTGTTTTTCAGTCTGGTGTGTAACTGACTATCCTAAAAAAATTATAAAAATATCTATTATAATCATATCTTAAATATTTATCTCTTTAATCCTTTTAGAATGTTTTCACAGATACCTGAATTAATTCTCATAACTACCTACCTGGTTTGGATTCCCCAGATAGTATTTTCTTATCTAAAGTACTATAATTGGTAGAATACCCTAAATTGTGAAGGACTTTCAGAAAGGCATCCCTGCTTTGTTCTGGAGTATAATAATGCTCATAAGGAAAATGGAACTTTGCAATATTTATGATATTTTTCACTGTGTATACTTTTAGTGTTTTGACCAGAGTCATAGGTTTTGCAGTGTCTAGTTACGATTAGGAGTGGCAGTATGGAGGGGTGGGATGGGGAGGTGGGAGGAAGGGGACATATGTATACCTGTGGCTGATTCATGTTGATATATGGCAGAAACCAACACAATTGTAAAGTAATTATCTTCCAATTAAAAATCTAGTCTGTGTGAAAGGAACTGGCCCCCTTGCCTTACCTATCTGCATTCAGGGCATGAACCGCATAAATTGGTGTCAGAAAATATTTTTCTTCTTCTGTTGGCAGCCATTTGAACTAGGTGCTAAAATAGAGAAACAGTGATAGGAGACATGGCATAAAAATGTCTAGGTCATAAGCATTCTAGTAGCTTCTTTCCCAGGCTCATTCTTCTCTTTTCCTCTTTTCTCCCCCCAAACTCTGTCATACTCTGTGACAGAAATTAGAGAGTCTTTATTCTATCAATTATAACAACGTAAACAGATAACCTGCATCAAAGCACAACACTGCCCTGTAGCAGGACCAAAAAAATCTAACAGTTCTTGCTCACTTGACAAGCTTTTTAAGTAGATTTGTAGGTAAAAGCAAGGATGTGGGTGCTCTTGATAAAGAGATGAAATTAATTTTTTGGTACTGACTTTGACATTTTTGAAAGAAATGGGATAAATGTTCTGGTTAGCTTTTCTCTATCTAATCAGGGTTTCAGATGATCTAGTAATGTTTCACTTCTCTTCCTTCTAGGATGGAGCACTGATAGCAACTGGCTCTGCAGACAGGAACGTGAAAATCTGGGGTCTGGACTTTGGGGACTGCCATAAGTCTCTGTTTGCGCATGATGACAGGTAGATGTCTTTTCAAAGACCTCCTGTTGGGTTACCTATCAATGTCATTTCCTGGGAACATCTTTTAGTGTTCTCAGATAGTCAGAAATTTAAAATTCTATTAATAAAACTCTAGGACTAACTGTCCAAAAGCTATTTATGTGTGTTTAAAACTTTAATAATGAGGAAGTTGATGATGTTTGCTTATTTCTCTCCCTTTTCAGTGTGATGTACCTAAGATTTGTGCCCAAGTCTCACCTCTTCTTCACTGCTGGGAAAGACCATAAGATTAAACAGTGGGATGCAGACAAATTTGAACACATACAGACTCTAGAGGTAACCTCTTGCCTGCTTTGACGTGCTCAGTACTTAACTTCTTTTAAGGCTGAGCATTGATTTCCCACCAGTGTAGCCGTCTATGAATAAGGTATTCTCACTCAGGTTTTGTCTTTACTCTCTGCAGGGGCACCACCAGGGAATATGGTGCTTGGCCGTAAGCCCCAGTGGGGACTACGTTGTATCATCATCCCATGACAAATCTCTGAGACTTTGGGAGAGAACAAGGGAGCCTCTTATTCTTGAGGAGGAAAAGGAGATGGTAAGGACTTCAGGCTTGGTGGGTGTCAGTCCCTGCCACGCTGTCTCGGCTCAAGGTTCCCGTCTAGTTCTGTCACACCTCACATGCAGTGCTAGCCCACTGGCTTCCAGAAGATGTTTCCAAGACTGCCGACACCACTTGGGCAGCCAAGTGGAGATAAAGATCCCATGAGGGGGTTAGATTGTGAAAGAAGCAGCTTCTCACTGTCTCACTTCACATGGTGATCATGTTTTATCTTTGAAATTAACTTATATCCATCTCTTGACAGCAAAGGGAAGCAGAATATGAAGAGAGTGTGGCCAAAGAAGACCAACCAGCAGTAAGTAGATCTTTCGGGATCCTCATTCTGTGCCCTGTCATTATCTTACTGGCGTTTACTGTAATTTCAAGAATTTCTAATGGAATTAGGACTGGGGCTAGATGCCAAAGTCATCTGCAGCTGATATGGGAAAGAATCTGTGTAGTCCTTCTTAATTCAGCTGTATATCCTGATTTTATGGGACAAATGACTTGGTATTAAAAGATTGTCATTCTGGCCCCCCCACCCCCCACCCCAAAGGAGGCTCTAGGGAACTGTTTTACTGTAAATCAAAAATCAGAAAAGAATTGCAAAATTAAGCAATCTCTTTAATCATGTGTTGTAGAGCAGAGTATTCTTATGATAATGCATGTAACACATTTAACATAATGTCTGGCACTTACTCCTGGAGAAGAGAATGGCAGCCCACTCCAGTATTCTTTTCTGGAGAATTCCATGGATAGAGGAGCCTGGTGGGCTACAGTTGAAGAGGTTGCAGAGTCAGGCGTGACTGAGTGACTAACACTTTTCACTTTCTTTCACTGGCACTTACTAATTTCTCATTTAATGGTAGCTGATAACACAGTGTAACAACAATCATCATAACATAGTATATCTATTCTTTTCTGGACATAAAATTAATTTGTTGCTTCTTTAACACCTGTCAGTGTTATGTTAAAAGGATCTCTCTGTTTCTGGCAGGTTCCAGGAGAGACTCAAGGTGACAATTACTTCACTGGAAAGAAAACTATTGAAACGGTCAAAGCAGTAAGTTGATATAGAAAGTTGTATCTCATTTTAATTTTTTATTTTCAAAAAGTATTTTATTAAAATTTAAAGAAAAACGAATAATTACAAGAAATAAAAACAGCATGAAATTGCCCTGTTCCCATATTTGACCCTAAAACCACCAAATAAGCTTTAAGAGCCCCTAATCTGATCTCTTTACTTTATGGCAGTAGTTCTCAGAGTAGAGCCCCCATACCTACTGAATCTGAACCACAGGGGTGGGGTTAGCAATAAGTGTGGCTTTTTTGTTTGCTTTTTTTTATTATAGGCTTTTTTAAAATTGAAGTATAGTTGATTTACAGTGTTGTGTTAATTTCTACTGTATAGCAAAGTGATTCAGTTTTGTACATTCAGTTCATATATATATATCTATCTATACACACACATTCTTTTTCATATTCTGTTCCATTATGGTTTATCATAGGATACTGAATATAGTTTTCTGTGCTATAGAGTAGGACCTTGTTGTCTAACCATTCCATATGCAGTAGCTTACATCTGCCAACCCCCGTTTGCCACTCCATCTCCCCCAAAGCAACTATGAATCTGTTCTGCATGTCCATGAGTCTGTTTCATAGATAGGTTCGTTTGTCATATTTTAGATTCCACATATATAAGTAATATTATATGGAGTTTATCTTTCTCTTTCTGACTTACTAGTATGATAATTCCTAATTGCATCCATGTTGCTGCAAATGGCATTATTTCCTTCTTTTTTATGACCGAGTAGTATTCCCTTGTATATATGTACCACATCATCTTTATCCATTCATCTGTCAGTGAACATTTAGATTGTTACCATGTCTTGGCTTTTGTGAGTAGTCCTGCTATGAACATAGGTTGTGTATGTCTGTTTAGAGTTTTGTTTGATTGTATGCCCAGGAGTGGGATTGCTGGATCATATGGTAATTTGATTTTTAGTATTCTGAGGAACCTCCATACTGTTTTCTGTAGTGGCTGTACCAATTTACATTTCCACCAATAGTGTAGGAGGTTTCCGTTTTTTCCACATCCTCTCTGGTAATTGTTATCTATAGAGTTTTGTTTTGTTTTTGTTTTTTATCTGTAGAGTTTTTAATGATGACCATTCTGACCAGTGTGAGGTGGTACCTCATTGTAGTTTTGATTTGCATTTCATTGATAATTAGCAGTGTTTAGCATCTTTTCTTGTGCCTATTGACCATCCATATTTCTTTGGAGAAATGTCTCTTTAGAGCTTCTGTCCATTTTTAGATTGGGTTATTTGTTGTTGAGTTGTAGGAGCTGTTAATGTATTTTAGAAATTAAGCCTTTGTCGGTCACATTATTTGCAGATGTTTTCTCCCATTCTGTAGGTTATCTTTTTGTTTTTTATGGTTTCTTTTGCTATGCAAAAGTTTTTCCCATTTGTTTTTTATTTCTATGCCTTGGGAGACTGACCTAAGAAAACACTGGTACAGTTTATGTCAGAGAATGTTTTGCCTGTAATCTTTTCCAGGTGTTCCATGGTGTCATGTCCTATGTCTTAAGTGTTTAAGACATCATGAGTTTATTTTTGTGTATGGTGAGAGGGTGTGTTCTAACTTTGATTTACATGCAATTGTCCAACTTTCCAATACTTGCTGAAGGCTTTTTCTCATATGTTCTTGCCTCTTTTGTTGAAGATTAATTGACTGTGTATGTGTGGGTTTATTTCTGAGTCTCTATTCTGTTCCATTTATCCATATGGAAAAGTTTTTGTGCCAGTATCACACTGTTTTGATTACTGTAGCTTTGTGCAAAAAGTATTGTCTGAAGTCTGCCTGCTGCTCTGTTCTTTTTCTTCAGGATTGCTTTAGCAATTCTGGATCTTTATGGTTTCATATAGATTTTAGGATTCTTTGTTCTGTGAAAAACAAACTTGTTAGGGATCACTTCAAATCTGTAGATTGCCTTAGGTAGTGTGGCCATTTTAACAATATGAATTCTTCCAATCTAGGAGCATGGGATATCTTCCCATTTCTTTGAATCCTCTTCAGTTTTCTTTATTAACAGTTTATGGTTCTCAGTGTGCAAGTCTTTAATTTCCTTGGTTGGGTCTACTGCTAAGTACTTTATTTTTAGATTGCAGATTTGAAAGGTGTTCTGGTTGTTTTGGATGTGATGTCCTGAAAATATCAATTAAATCTTAGTATTCTATTGTATAGTTGAGAATCTCTTGCTTTATTGATCTTTTTAAAAGATCTGTCCATTGATGTGAGTGGGGTGTTAAAGTCTCCTACTACTACTATATTTTTGTCAGTTTATCCCTTTAAGTCTGTTAGTGCCTGTTTTATGTATTTGGGTGCACCTGTACAAAGGTCTGTCTGGTCAAGGCTATGGTTTTTCCAGTGGTCATGTATGGATGTGAGAGTCAGACTGTGAAGAAAGCTGAGCACCGAAAAATTGATGCTTTTGAACTGTGGTGTTGGAGAAGACTCTTGAGAGTCCCCTGGACTGCAAGGAGATCCAACCAGTCCATCCTAAGGAGATCAGTCCTGGGTGTTCATTGGAAGGACTGATGCTGAAGTTGAAACTCCAATATTTTGGCCACCTCATGCGAAGAGTTGACTCACTGGAAAAGATCCTAATGCTGGGAGGGATTGGGGGCAGGAGGAGAAGGGGACGACAGAGGATGAGATGGCTGGATGGCATCACCGACTTGATGGGCATGAGTTTGAGTAAATTCCGGGAGTTGGTGATGGACAGGGAGGCCTGGCATGCTGCGATTCATGGGGTCGCAAAGAGTCGGACACGACTGAGCGACTGAACTGAACTCATACATTGGCTGCATATATGTTGATGAGGATAAAATCCTTGTGTTGACCCTTTTTTTTGTTGTTGACCCTTTTATTATTATATAGTGTCCTTTTTCTTTATGGCCTTTGTTTTATTATTTATTTTTCATTTACTTTTATTAGTTGGAGGCTAATTACTTTACAATATTGTAGTGGTTTTTGCCATACATTGACATGAGTCAGCCATGGATTTACATGCGTTCCCCATCCTGATCCCCCCTCCCGCCTCCCTCCCCATCCGATCCCTCTGGGTCTTCCCAGTGTACCAGCCCGGAGCACTTGTCTCATGCATCCAACCTGGGCTGGTGAGCCTTTGTTTTAAAGTCTATTTTCTCTGATAGGAGTATCGCAACCCACACTTTTCCTCTCATTTGTGTTTGCATGGGCTGTCTTTTTTACATGCCCTCACTTTCAATCTATATGTGTCCTTTGCCCTAAAGTAGGTCTCTTGCAGGCAGCATATTGTAGCTTTTTTTTTTAAATCCAGTCTTCCATTCTGTCTTTTGATGGGAGCATTTAGTCCAACGTTTGACAATTAAGGTAATTATTGATACATATTTATGGTCATTTTAACCATGTTTTCATATTGATTTTACATTTTTTCTTTGTCTCTTTTTCTTTGTGTTGTTCTTTTGTGGTTTGTTTCCCTGTTGGTTATGTTCTTTTTGGTTTTTGTGAATCTAGTGTATGCTTTGAAGTTGCCCTGTGTTTCAAGTATGTGGACCCCATCCTATATCTACTTGCTTCGATTGGTAGTCATATAGGTCAAACCCATTACAGGAAGTGGAAAAAAAAAAAACCAAAAAACCCTGCATTTTCTTACTCTTGTCCCACAGTTTATGATTTTGATGTCCTCTTTCACATCTTCATCCTTTTGCTGTTGATTGTAGTTTTACCATCACTTTCACAAAAACGTTTTCTTTTTTTTTCTTTAATCTGTATGTTAGCTTATTGAAGTGACTTACTTTCCAGTTGTGATTTTTCTCTTTGCTATCTGTTCTTACTAGTTTTCTATTTAGAGAAAACCTTTAATATTTGCTTTAGGATGGATTTAGTATTGCTGAATTCTTTTAGTTTTTGCTTATCTGAGAAATTCTTTATATCTCCTTCTATTCTAAATATAATCTTGCTGGGTAGAGTATCCTAGGATGCAGATTTTTCCCTTTTAGGACTTTCAATATATCTTGCCACTCCCTTCTGGCCTGCAGTGCTTCTGTAGAGTAATCAGCTGATTGCCTTATGGGAGTTCCCTTGTGATGAACTTTTTTTTTCTTGCTGCATTGAGAATCCTCTTTATTTTGCCATTTTTATTATAGTGCGTCTTGGTTTAGGTCTGTTTGGGTTTACTTTTATTTGGGCCCTTCTGTGCTTCCTGTACATGCATATTTGTTTCTCTAGGTTTGGGAGGTTTTCAGCCATAATTTCTTCAAATACATAATCCCCTTTTCTCTTTCTTCCCCTTCTGGAGCTGTATTATGTGTAGATTGGCACACTTTATTATTATCCCATAGGTCTCTTATATTGCTTTCATTTCTTTTATTTGGCTGTCTGTTGTCTTGGTTGGGTGATTTCCATCTTCTTTTTTCCAGGTCACTTATCCTGCATTGTTTATTCTGCTCTTATTGTGTTCAGTTCAGTTTTTGTCTCAAACAATGAGTTTTCTTATTTTTCTTGGTTCCTCTTTATAATTGGTAGTTCCTTTAAGTTGGTGTCTGTTAGACTGAAGAGGTCTGTTACTGTGGTCTTGCAGGGCTATTTATATGTGGGACCATCCCTGTGTGGCTTGTGTGGGTTTAATATTTTTGGTGTAAGGACTGTTTTTAGCGCGGATGCCTGTTGCCTCTTTCCTCAGTGTGTGCTGGCCATTATCCCCCTGATGGGGGTGTGCAGATAGAGTAGCTGGTGTACTGGGTTCTCGGCAGCAGTGGCGGCTCATGTGCCGCCTGGAGCACACAATGGGAGCAGAGGGGGCTGGTGGCCACTCCTGAAGCCTGGGGCCTTGTGGCGGCTCACTGCCACTCCTGGAGCTCATGGAGGCAGTGTCCTACAGCCTGAGCGGTCCCTCAGAGAAAAAGGCTGTAGGGTGGATACCGTACCTCCTGTCGCATACTGCCACACAACAGCACCTAGCCTCTCAGGTGGCCCAGGATTCCTCTGCATGTACCTTCAGGTGTGGTTGCACTAGACTCCAGACCCTTCAGACTGTTTTTGCACAGCCCACCCTAGTCTTCTTCCTGGGTATGATCTGAAGCCCGAGCTTCCACACCTAGCCCTCACATGCACCTCTGGACACACGTCTTAGGCTGGGGGTGTAGAGGGGTGGCACTGACCCGCTGTGCAGACCTCTCTCTATTCGAGCTGCTGCAGACCAGTTGCTGTATTCTCCTCTGAGGCTCTGAAGCTCTCATCTGTCCTGGCTGACGTCCTACTAGTGAGGGGACTTCCCAGGGTGCAGGAACCTTTCCTATTTCACAGCTCCCTCCCTGGGGTACAGGTCCCAACCCAGTTCCTTTCTCACTTTCTTTTGTCTTCTGTTCTACCCGGTTACGCTTATGTGGAGATTTTCTTGTTCTTTCAGAGGTCTGAGGTCTCCCACCAGCGTTCAGTAGATATTCTGTGAGAACAGTCCAACATGTAGATGTATTTTTGATGTACTTGTGGGAGGAGGTGAGCTTCATGTTCCTCTACTCCGCCATCTTGATCACTGCCCCATATCTCATTTTTAAAAAGGTCCCAACCAAATAGCCCTTTTGTGGCAAAAAGATTGATGAAATGTATAGATGGAGATCATAGTCTCTGTTTTCCTCCCTTGTAACCAAGGACATGAGCAGTGCTGAGTCTGTTTAATCAGTGTGTGGTTTCTAAGGAAGGAAGGTTTGATCTCAGGTGCACCTGTCAGGTGTCCCTGGGAGCTGCCCTGCTCAAGGTGTCCACTTACAGTCTCACCTGAATTCACAACACTTAGTCTCCTTGTAAATGAAAAAACAAAAGCCAAAGACATCTGTGAATGCAGTTTGGGATGCTCTTGGCACTTCTTTATTAAACTGATTCAAGCAGTTTAATTTGATAGCTTTTCGTCAGGCCTTCCGCTTGCAGTGTTGTGGGATGATGAGTGTATTGTGATGACTTCCATTCTTTGTCATCATCTGTGTAGGCTGAGAGGATCATGGAGGCTATTGAGCTGTACCGAGAAGAAACTGCAAAAATGAGAGAACACAAAGCCATCTGTAAAGCTGCAGGGAAAGAGGTGAGACCGTTCACTAAGTTACATCCTGAGCAGCATTTATTTATAGAGATAATTGCTGAGGAAAAAATATCATTTGTATGGATGTGATAGAAACTTTTCTAATTCAAACATTAGAAAGAAAGAATTGAGAAGCTCTATCTCAATAAAAAGCCAAGGATAGTTGATTTGAAATTGAGGTGATTACTGTATTGAGTTGGAAACTCAGGTTCCTGCTTTAGTTTGGGAGGCTGGTGAGCCATTTTTGATTTCTAAATGAAATGTATTACCCAGACTCATTCATAAGCCCTATTGAAACTAAAAATATATTCTTAAATAATAATTCTTTAGCATCAGTTTTTAGGGTCTCCTTCAGAACTATAAAATACTATTATGACCCTGCCTGAGATAAGCACTATCAAAGACTATTTTTTAATGACTTGATTTAATCATTTCTTCATAGGTTCCTCCTCCCATCAACCCCATCCTGATGGCTTATGGCAATATCTCTGTAAGTAGAATGTTAATGGTTTCTCCCTTAAGGTTTAACCACCATTCTAAGGTTAAATTAAGGCAGGCACAAGAGAGGACCTGAAGAGGCATTAGATTTGAGAATTGACATATTGGGAAATACTTTGTTGTTAAAAATCTCTGTTGAATGTTGGAATCCTTTAGGATATTTTGTATTTCAAAAGGACCATTTTGTTTGTTTTTGTATTCTTTTAGTGCTTATTTATGTTTAGTATCCAGAGTGCTGTCTGAAGATTCTGTTCATTGAAGCTGAAGTTTTTGGACAGAAAGTTGTTACAAATCAGTCAGATAGAAGAGGAGAGAGGGAGAATAGAGGGACAGTGTATACTTTTAGTAATCTTTAATTACTCAATACTTTGCTTTCGCGGTTCATCCTTCACAATAGTAATACAGGTCAGTGTCTTTATTTTATAGACAGGAAACTGTCCTGACTTACAGACTGAAGGTAACATAGTTGGCAAGTGGCAGAGTGTGATTGTGAACCCAGATCTGACTCAGTCTAAGCCCATGCACGTATTGCCATTTTTAGAACATGGTATGTCCTGAGAGAGATCCCTGGTTTTTAGGAGATAGAGATTAGAGAGCTTCAGTTAAGAAATAGAAGTATCACTAATGCTGTCACACTTCCATTCTAGCCTTCAGCTTATGTGTTGGAGATTTTTAAAGGAATCAAATCCAGGTGAGTGTCAGTGCACGGATTATTGTAAATTGGCAGCTAACACCATTTTCTGAACATGGGATAAGAACATTATAATTGATGATTAATTGATGGTTATTCCTTAGAGGGTTAACTATGTCAAATTTGGATGGAAAATAATTCATTATAATGTTCTTTTTGAATTAGAACTACAAAGCTCCTCCTAAAATATGAAGGGAGATACTTTTAAGGACAAATGAAGGGCAGTGTTACTTTACATCATAGGTAATGAGATTATTTGCAATTCAGTCAGAGGTACCAACTATTAACATTTTTTGTTGTATATTTCCTTTGAATTGTTTTCTGTGTATGTACAGAGTTGAAATCATATGTATACATTTTTATATCCTGTCCTTTTTCACAGGATAGTTCTAAGCATTTGCTCACATTAGTAATTTTCTTCAGAAACACATCATTGAATTAATTCAAAATATTCCATTGTACATATAGTTACTATTAGGTGTTGCAGAAGGGTTTTGCTATTATTAATACTGCTTCAGTGAACACCTTTACATATAAATCTTTGCCATCCTCATTGATTATTTTCTTAACGGTCCTAGCAGTCTGTTAACTAATTAATGGACATGAACTTTTCAAATGTTTATGTTGCTTACCTTCGAGAGTGCCTGTAATGACTTTCACCAGGCTTTTAAAAATTCTTTGCTGGTTTGAGAGGCAAAAAGTGGTATCATTTTCATTTTTAATTAACAAAGTTAAAATTTTATTATATTTATTGGGCATTTGTATTTTTTCCTGTGAATTTTTACTTTCCCATTCTTGTGCTTTATAGATGTTTTTCTTACTGGTTAAGAATTTTTTTTTTATATCTTTTGTTATTTTTGGAATAATGTTTCTTGTTTGTGATTTATCTTTTGGTTTTATTTGAGTTTGACCTACTTAGTTATCATTTTTATAACAGATCACAGTATCTGAATATGTCCCATATAAGAATTAAATGAACCTAAGATAATGAAACTTTGCTAGAGAAATGTAAAGTAGAATTTAGATTAATGGAGTTAGGGTGCATTCATAGATGGGAAGACTCTTGTGTTTAAAGATTTAGTTTTTCTTAAGCTAATCTATTAGGTTTGTGATCCCAATTGAAAGTCTCTTGAGAATTCTAAGAGGAATTGATGGAATGATAATAGAACTAGCTCAAGAAAAGTAAACAAACCAACCCAGAACAAGAAAGAGATTAAAGAAGTATAAAAACAACAAAATTGAAACAGTACAGGATTGTCAGAATCAGTCATCAAAACAGACTCTAAAGCCCTGAAGCAGGCTCTGTCGTACAGAAGGACTCAATAAAGATAGGATACTCAATAAAAAGCTTTGAAGAAATGAGTTTTCTGAAAGAAAAAAAGATTCTCCTACACTGCCATGGACCAAAATGCATCAACTAGGTTAAAATACTAAATATAAGAAAAAAAAAACACTGAAAAGAGAGAGCCATCCATAGTATAGATGATAACTCTGGATGGGTAAGATCTATTAAAGTATGTAAAAGGAGAAGAAAAAAATTGGAGGGGAAAAGATTTTTAAATTGACCATGTAAAGAAACGTGACGTTTTTAATGTTTGTTTTTCCCTCTCCAGTGAGCTGGAAGAATCTCTCCTCGTGCTGCCTTTCTCTTATGTCCCAGACATTCTCAGGCTCTTTAATGAATTCATCCAGCAGGGCTCCGACATTGAACTTCTGTGTAGGTGCCTCTTCTTTCTCCTCAGGTAACGACGCCCTTTCCCAGAAGAACATCGTATGTCTCATGAGCATAACTCCTCCAGTGGTGCCTCACCTGAAGCTTTCTCCATACTTTGTGATTAAGAAATGTGACACTTCAGTTTCAGAGACTGTTAGGAATTTCAGTGCTGCCCAGCACAGATTATTTCTTATCCTTTGGTGTCGGTCTTGCTCGTAAAGTGCTGATAGTGATGACCCACCTCCTGAAGTAACGGGAGGTACTACGCTGCTCAGGATGCTCGGGCAGGCGGAGGTCTCCGAGTTCCAGTCCAAGGCAGTGGCCCTGGTTCTGGGTAGGGTGCTGAAAGCCCATCCCTGAATGACCAGTCTCCTTCAGTGGTGTTTCTTTTTAAACTAAATGGTTTGGTTTTGTTTCCATAAGAGAATTTTAAGGAGTAGTCAGCTTATTTCCCAGGCCTCTACAAATGCAAATAGAAGAACAGTGGCATATTTGGAGGGAACCAAGAAACATAACTGCTTCCCCGGTAGCTTGGACAGTAAAGGTTATGCCTGCAATGCAGGAGACCTGGCTTCAATCCCTGGGTTGTGAAGATGCCCTGGAGAAGGGAATGGCTACACATTCCAGTGTTTTTGCCTGGGAAACCCCACAGACAGAGGGGCCTGGCAGGCTGCAGTCCATGGAATCGAAAAGAGTCAGACACAACTGAGCAACTAAGCATTCAAGAAACATAAAGAAAATGTTCATTACATTATATTCTTAAATAGGAAGAATTTGTATTAAATATGTAACAGAGGAAAAATGTATTTACAAAGGCTTAGTATATTCTTGGTAGAGGAAATGGCAGCCCACTCCAGTATTCTTGCCTGGAGAATCCCATGGACAGGGGAGCCTGGTGGGCTGCACTCCATGGGGTCATGGAAAGTCAGACATGACTGGGTGAATAGCGCGCACACACAGTACATTCTTATCTCCCACTCTGTCCCCCAGTCTCAAGCTGTTGTGTAAGAGAACAGGAATATTGGCAAATTTGAACATTCCTTAAAATGCTGCTAGGAAAACAGCAGGAACTGCTCAGCCAGTACCAAGTAATTAAAAGAAAATGGTGTACTTGGTAAATTGGCATTTTTTCCTGAGCCTTAACCCTTCATTCCTTTTTCTTTCTTTCAGGATAGTAGCAAGTGAAGATATACACGTTAACAGTGTATTTCTTACTGCTGTGGCATATGTTGAATCAGGGTTACTGGTTCTAAGAGAAACACTGAATATTTCTAGCATGTTGGGATTGTAGATGGGTGCTACCTTGCAGGTAGATATGGCAGGTCACAGCTTGGATGAGGGTGAGCATGGAAGTTAAAAACCATGAAGTCATCCAGGGCATGTTGGTACTTTTGGTCAGAATTTGATCATCTCTCTCTCTCTCTTTTTTTTTTTTTTTTTGCTGAAATATAAATCTTTGAGTTAGTGTTTCTTAGAAGGCTCATTTTCCCTCTGAAATCCCTGTAGAATACTGTTGTTAAAAATCTGTGGCCACTTGACAGATTGCTGGGGAAAGTCAGCTTTTTAGATGTTAGGACACTAGGTTTTAAAATTATTAGATAGAGCTAAATAGTAGGGAAGAAACTTCTTAAGCTTTTTTTTGCTAGAAGCATTTCTATATTCCCATGATGGGTGAAATGATTTTTTTTTTTGCTTTGACATTTGTTTCTTTGCTGGTTCTAGGAGGTATAGCCAAACCCAATATTCTTTGTGACAGTGCTTGGTGTTATTTTTCTATTAGGATTCACTTTGGCCAGATCACTAGCAACCAAATGCTTGTGCCAGTGATTGAAAAATTAAAGGAAACAACCATTTCAAAAGTCAGCCAAGTCCGGGTAAGTATCTTTGTAGAGGTAGCCATAGAAGAAGAAGGGGAGGTTCTAGTGTATGTGTGACTTACAAGTAGAATGGTGTGCTATGCCCAGTCTTTGGTGATACTGACCTGACATACATACATATTTAAGATGAGTTTTCTGTTGGCGCTGGTAGACATGAGGGAAAAAAACAAGAAAAGACTGTAGGGAGGCATGGGTAACAACACATGAAGCTTTGGTTCCTCTGACTCATTTGCTGTGACACTGAACTGAAGTGAGGGGAAGTCCGTTTAATCTCTCTTCTATTTTTCCTCAGGATGTTATCGGCTTCAACATGGCAGGTCTCGATTATCTCAAGAGGGAATGTGAAGCAAAAAGTGAGGTTATGTTTTTTGCTGATGCCACCAGCCACTTGGAAGAGAAGAAGAGAAAGAGGAAAAAGAGGGAGAAGCTGATTTTAACAGTGACTTAGAACTGAAGTGTGCCTTTTCCAACTTCTGCTTGAGAAGGACTTCCAAACTATGTGGCCGTAGCATTGGTGTAATCTTTAAGAGATGATCATGTTGCAGAGGATCACACGGTGTGTTTCCTGGCTCTGCCTGAAGGAGTTTCAGCATAGGAATGTCTTGGATTGAAACAGACTAGTTTTCAATCTGTGCTCTGAATGGGGAGCCCTCTAAGAGGTGTGCCCTTTATAGTCTAGCAGGAAGCAGAGAACTTTTTAAATTAGGTATTTTTTCACTAAAGTTGAAACTTTAACATTTCAAAATGTTTCCTTATTTATGTCAGAAGATTTGATGAGTAATTTGTTACCTCTTCAGATTAGGTTTTCTAGCCCACTGAGACAGTCAGGTATGTAATTGATCACCTTCCGCCCATAAATGTGGTCTTGAACTTTCAGAGCTGAAAGGGACTGCAAAAGTTACCTGGAACAGCCTCCTTAAACTTAACTTCTTGCAGGTTGTTTTATCTGTATATAAGACAGTCCTAATTGCTGTTTCTACTTCTCTACTTTTCTAATTAAAGAGCAGTCAAGCTGAGATCCCTGGCTGTGCTTTTTGGGTGACTAATATGCTGTATATGTATATCCTCGTGGCGGGGAGGTGGCAGTGTTTTAGGAAAGGAAATTGACACGTACCTTTGGGGCTGGGCTTTTCTTTGTGGGAAGTTTTTAAATCACTAACAGGATCTCCTTATTACAAATCAGTGCAGATTTTCCCTCTTTTTGAGTCTGTTTAAGTAGTTTGTATGTTTCCATGAATTTGTGCATTTCATCTAAATTACTATGTTGTAGTACTACCATTTTCTTGCCAATCTCAGACGCAGTTTCTTATTTCTCCTAACCCAAACATCTATTATTGTTCCTAAGCGTAACACAGTCACTGGACTGAAGTAAGAATTGAATAGTAGTATTCAATTCTACTTCAAAATACAATACTACTACTTCAAAAATAGTATTTTTTTTTTAAACAATGAGAGTAAAAAGAATTTAGGCATAGTGTTCCTGAGACTTCATTATGAAAAGGCATGAGGAGAGACAGTATGATGGATTCTAGGTACATTCCAGTCTGAAGAATCAACCTTTTAGGCAGTTATTCCTACCACTAGAAAGAGGAATTACTGAAAGTGTTTCTCAGTGACATGTATCATAAATCACATTCACCGCAAATAAACCTAGCTGAGCACCTAGGGCAGTGACCAAGGAGACAGTGGTGTCTGTCACAGGCTGTAGGGTTCCATTCACCCATGTGTGCAGCCTTAACAGGCCAGATGAGGCAGGGGCTTAGGAGGAAGCACCTGGTTTACAAACAGGCTTCCCAGTGGCTCAGTGAATCCGCCTGCCAATGCAGGAGACACAGGTTCTATCCCTGGGTTGGGAAGATCCCCTGGAGGAGGAAATGGCTACCCATTGTAGTATTCTGGCCTGGAAAATTCCATGGACAGGAGTCTGGCAGGCTACTGTCCATGGGGTCACAAAGAGTTACACACAACTGAGAATGCACACACTGCAAACAATATCTACAACATATCCCTTTCCTCATAAAAGCCTGAGTTTTGAGATATGACTAAGGCTCTTAAGGATAACATCACCGTATATTCTAAGTCCTGTCACTTTATTTCTGAGGTTATGGGATGGAAGCAGCTCCGATGTATACAGCAGTCACTGGCCCATCCCTTGTTAGGCTAAGTGCTAGCTGCCCTTGGATAATTCCTACCCTTGAAGCATAGGCTGGACCTGTTGAGCTGCTTCTAAAGAATAGAATACAGTAAATTTAATAGAATGTCTCTTCTAAGGTTAACACCCTGAATTAACACCCTGAATTCTGTTGTGCTCACACTCTCTCAGATCTTGATCGCTCTAGTAAACACAAGCTGCCTATTGTGAGATGCCCTGAGAGCAATCTCCCGACACCAGCCAGTGAGGGACTGAGGTCCTCTGTCTAACCACCTGCAAGGAAGTGCATCCTGCCAGTGACTTCTTGAGTGAGCTGAAAGCAGATTCACCTCTAGTTGAGCCACAATAACAACAGCTCTATGCCTGGATTCCTTACCCACACAAGCTAGGAGATCAGGAGTGTCTGTTGCTTTAAGTTACTGAGTCATGGAGAAATTTATAGCTCAGTATCTTAATAAGCATTCATGATGTCTGTTAATAACAGACCAGCTGGAGTACTTAGCACTGGCTCAGAGTAGAAACACACAGAATATGTTACTTTTTCTGTTTGAGACATACACAATATAAAACTATAATGATTCCAATATATACATAGGTAGAAAAGATTGGAAAGAAACAGATGAAAATGTTTTGTCAGATATAACAATCTTTACAATAGATGTTTAAAAGATACTGATTGTACTTACATTAATATCATTAACTGATAATATGAACAAAGAGGCATAAAGACGTACCATTTAAGACCTTTCTATTAGGTACACTCATGTCATTACTTTTGATAGATTGGTTCCAACAGGCATTATGAATATTGGAAAGCTGTGCTGTAGTTTTCAGAATGGTCCAGCTAGAGTTTCAAACTTCATCACTTTTTAATTTAGGGTAACTTTTGAAAGTCATGGGCTAGAACCAAGATAAACCACACCTTAATCAGTGGTTTCTAAAGAATGTTCCTAGACCTTTAGGGTCTGAAGACCCTTTTGAGAATAATCTGCATGGTCAAAAATATTTAAAAATGGTAAGTATAATAGTGTCCTCCAGAAATTCATCTCTACCTGAAACCCATAAATGTGACCTTATTTGGAATTAGGGAGAAGGAAATGGCAGCCCACTCCAGTACTGCCTGGAGACTCTCCATGGACAGAGGAGCCTGCTACAGTCCATGGGGTCACAAAGAGCTGAACATGACTGACTATTTGGAATTAAGTTATTTATAAAACATTCTCTAACAAATAACCATGTGCAAAAATACACAAAAAATGTATCAGTCCGTAGGGTCACAAAGAGTCACACACAACTGAAGTGACTTATCACGCATACACAGGAAACAACAGATTTTGGTACCAGGAAGTGAGGTGCTGCCTTAACAAATACCTAAAAATGTGGAAGTGGCTTTGGAATCAAGTAATGGGTGAAAGCTAAAAGAATTTTGAACTGCATGATAGAAAAGTTCTATTAATAGATTACCTTGAAAAGACTGCTGGTAGAAATAATGGGTATTAAAAGCAATTTTGATAAATGTTCAGAAGGAATGGATGGGGACAGTAAAGAACACTTCAAGCATCCTAGAGACTTTCTGTATTGTGAACAGACTGTTGGTAGAAATAGGAACATGAAAGGCATTTTTGGTAAGACCTCAGATGGAAACAAAGAACGTGTTATTGGACAGTGGAGGAAGAGTTACAATGTGGCAGAAAACTTGGCTGAACTGTCTTCTGCTTTTGGATAAAAAGTAGAACTTAAAACAATGAAATTGGATTTTTAGTTGAAATTTCCAAGCAAAATATGGAAGACGTGTCCTGGTTTCTTACTGCTTATAGTAAAATGCAAGAGGAAAGAGATAAATTGAGGAAGGGAACAGTGAGCAAAAAGGAACCTGAACATGATGATTTGGGAAATTCACAGCCTGTCCATATTGCAAGATATGGTAAGGCACCCTCTGAAGAGTTTTATCAAAGGTTTAACTGGAAAGCCTAGTGGAAAAGCTTAGGTTTGTGACCAAGATGAGTACCATCAGCCATCTCAGCAGAAGCCAGGAACAGAGGTGTGGCTTCAGGAAGGACCTGTGGAGAGCCCTCACACCTAATGATGTGGAGCCCCTTCACATCAATGAAAACTTCTGAGAAAGCTCTGTCAGCAGAAACACTGCTTGCTTGGCCTGGGGGACAGAGGCAGGAAATGAAGGGAGGTTGCCAGACTTCTGGGCTTCTATAAGCAGAAAGCGGGCTGCCCAGAGGATAATACTTTATCAGGCTAATGACAGAGGGTAGGACCCAAAAGGCCTATGAGGGTCCAGAGGGTAGGGCAGGGGAAGCCTCTGGCCCAGATCAAGACATAGATGATTGTGTTCATACTCTGAAATAGCAAATCTGCCCAGAGCATTGCAAACACTTAGCCTGGTGATTGCTTGATTCTTTGCATCTTCTCTTTAGAATGTCTTCTTATGTTATCCCACCATAGTATTTTGCAAACTGACAACTTGTTTCCTAGTTTCACAGGTCTGCAAATGGAGAAGACACCAGGATAGGTGAAGACTTTGGGGAGTGTTGCGATGGATTGAGTGTATTTTGCATGTGAGATGGATGTGAATTTTGGGGGACCAGAGGGTAGACTATATTGAGTTTGTCCCCATAAAATGCATGTCTACCAGGGACCTATGAATGTGACCTTATTTGTAAATAGGGTCCTTACAGATGCAATCAAGTTAAGGTGAAGCCTTATCTTATTCAAGTGCAGTCGTGCTTGCTAAGTCGCTTCAGTTGTGTCTGACTCTTTGCGACCCCATGGACTGTAGCCTGCCAGGCTCCTCTGTCTGTAGGATTCTCCAGCCAAGAAGAGGGGAGTGGGTTGCCATTTCCTTCTCCAGAGGATCTTCCTGATTCAGGGATCAAACCCACACCTCTGTCTCCTGCATTGGCAGGTGGGTTCTTTACCACTAGCACCACCTGGGAAGCCCATTCAAGGTTAGGGTGGCCCCTTCATCCAATGAGGAGCTCCTTGTGGCTCACTGGTAAAGAGTCTGCCTGCAGTGCAGGAGACTCGGGTTTGATCCCTGGGTTGGGAAGATCCCCTGGAGAAGGAAATGGCAACCCACTCCAGTATTGCCTGGAGAAGCCCATAGACTGAGGAGCCTGGCAGGCTATACAGTCCATGTGGTTGCAAAGAGACTAACACTTTAAATCCAATGACTGTTGATCTTATGAGGAGAGAGATATAGAAACACAAAGGGAAGAATGCCGTTGGAGACAGGCAAAGATGAGAGTGGTGAGTTATAAGCTAAGGAACACCAAGGATTGCGGGGAACCAAGAGAAGTTAAGGTCATAGAACAAATGCTCCCTCAGAGGCTACAGAAGGAACCAACCCTGCTCCCACCTTGATTCTGATCGTCTGGCCTCCCAAACTGCAAGAGAACAAATATCCACTGTTTTAAGTCACCTGGTCTGTGGTACTTAGTTATAGCAGCCTGGGGCAACAAATACAGATTTGTTACAGCAGTCCTAAGAAACAAATGCAAGATGTTATTGACCTTTTTCTCTCATGACTATACAGTGGAGTCTTCCAGAGACTCTGCCATGTGTGATATGGTGACAGATTGAAGACAGAGCAACTGTGAGAATCCAGCTATGAGCCAAACATTAAAAGATTTGCCAAAATTTAATCTTCCCCTCATTAATTTTTGGAAAAGTTATTTTTGATTAACAATTTATTTATAGTAATGCACTGTTTTTTAAAAAATAAATTTTAAGTTTTTCCCAGTTTTAATTCTAATATGGTAAATACTGATAAAAAAAATGACCCACATAAACAAAAGCTTTGGGGAATCCTCAGTAATTTTTAAGAATACATAAGGAGGGCTTCCTTGGTGGCTCAGTGGTAAAGAATCCACTTGCCAATGCAGGAGACACAGGTCTGAGCCCTGGTCCGGGAAGATCCCACATGCCACAGAACAACTAAGCCCATGCACCAGAACTTTTGAGCCTGTGCTCTAGAGCCTGGGAACTGAAACAACTGAAGCCCTCGTGTTTTAGGGCCTGTGCTCTGCAACAAGAGAAGCCACCACAATAAAAAGCCCATGCACCACAGCTAGACTGTGCATAGTCTAGCTATGCTTGCCCCTGCTTGCCACAACTAGAGAAAACCTGCAGCAAGGAAGACCCAGCACAGCCATGTATATATATGGGCTTCCCCGGTGGCTCAGTCAGTAAAGAACCCACCTGCAAGCAGGGGACCTGGGTCTGAGCCCTGGGCTGGGAAGATCCCTGGAGGAGGGCATGGCAACCCACTCCAGTATTCTTGCCTGGAGAATCCCCAGGGACAGAGGAGGCTGGCAGGCTGTAGTCCACGGGGCTGCAGAGTCAGACATGACTGAGAGACTATGCACAGCACATAAGGAGTCTTTGAGTCCAAAAAATGTAAGAACCACTGACCTAACTGTAAATTCTCAAGTACAGAAAGGCATCCTGCTGTTGGTGTTTCTTCCCTTGGAACGTCAGATCAATGTCAAAAATGGCACTTGAAAGAATAAACTTTAGAATCACACGTAAGTAAGTTAGATTTTTTACTTCTTCAAGATTCTCTGAGCCTGAGTTTCCTTATTTATAAAGTGGGGGAAGTATCTACCTTGTAGATAGTATGAGGATTAGATGGATAATGAGTATAAACAGGTAGCTGTTATCATTATTAAAAACAAGTATTTTAATTCCACCAAACTAAGTGGCTCAGTGGTTGCTGGCTGAATGAAGATGAGAACAAATGTGAGGTCTAAGGCCTCAAATTTGAATGGGTGACAATCAAATTACAAATGTATTACTTACCTGACTCCTAATGTGGAGAAATTTTACGGGACATGAAGACTCCAAGTGCAGAGGAAGAAATTGTAGAAATCCTCTGGACCATGGGATTTTCTTTTCCCTGGGGAAAATCTTTTGGTCTCTTCTCATAATTGCTGCTTGTTAAAACTGGTAAAATACCCATTAAGGACTATTATTTTCATGAATAAATGAGTCTTATATGCAAACTCAGATAATATCTTAGAATTAGAATCTTTAGCATCATCAGATCACTTTTAGGTATTTTCAATTTAATGCAAATTCTATATGCCAAGCTTAGAGGATGAAGGATGGATATTGATCTGGAATTTCTTCGGTCCCCTCTAGTGTATGTTTCTCTGCTACGAGACTGGCCTTTCTATAGGTACCATCAATCACCGTAACCAGGTCCCAGACCACATCAACATGCAGATTTCATGCTTTTTTGATGCAAAAGAGAGGGACTAGATCTTGAGAAATGGGCTATGAACTATCATTGTTGACCCTGGAAGTAAAGATTTAGTAAAACTCTTTTCCCATCTCTCTGTGCCAGACAGTCTCTAATTGTAAGCAAGGTAATAGAAACTTTATTAGAATAAATGCAAAATGATTTAATTGCTGTGATCAGCAGCAGGGATTCAGTTAGTCAGTTATTAGATTCAGCATCTAATAACTTGTATGAAGAGGACATAATTCCCAGAGAGGGGAAATCCTTCTGAGGGAGGTCTTTCCTGACTACTCATTTTAAATTTCAGTCCTTAACGCTCCCTGTACTTCCTTTCCTATGTTGTTGCTGTTGTTTAGTCTCTGTTGTTGTTTAGTGGCAACCCCATGGACCCACCAGGCTCCTCTGTCCATCGGATCTTCCAGGAAAGAATACTGGAGGGGGTTGCCATTTCCTTCTCCATGTACTTTCTTTCCTATGTTGCATTTCTGTTTCTTACATTGTACTTATTACCATTAGAGTCCACATTTCACTTATTTTGTCTATTGTCTGTCTTCCTACTGGAATGTAAGCTACATAAAGGCAGAGAGAGATTTGTCCCTTGTTCATTGCTGTATCCCTGATGCCTAGCACATTAGGGACACTTATGATCTTTGAAAGAATGAAAATGCATGCTCAGTTGCTAAGTCATATTTGACTCTGCGATGGCTTGGACTGTAGCCCACCAGGATCCTCTGTCCATAGGATTTTCCTGGAAAGAATACTGGAGTGGGTTGCCAGCATATCTTCCTGACCCAGGGATTGAACTTGCATCTCTTGAGTCTCTTGCATTGGCAGGCAGGTTCTTTACCACTGAACCACCTGGGAAGACCATAAACAAATGAATACAACTCTACTTCTATTGCAGTCAAGATCATCTGACACAATTTCCCTTAATTTCTCTTTCACCTCAGAATGTCTAGACCCTCGGTCATCTTTACTCTCTCCTTTGCCAAGATTAACCCTTCAGCTCTGTTCTTGATTATGCTTTCACCTTCTTTTGGATATTGCTGCCACTATATTACTAATACTCTAAGCTCTCAACAAATTGAACTCCCTGCTTACCCTCCTGAACAATTGGAGCTTTCCTATTACTAGTTTTGTTCATTCTTCCTATTTTAAGTCTCTTTTCATCAAAAGTTTTTGTATTCTATAAGACCCAGCTCAAATATCAAATAGATATACCTATAACACAGAGTAGCATATGATTCATACTATTGGAGTTACAATACAGGAATCAAGTGTGAAAATTTTATTCCTGCTACCAGCTTATGTAGCTTTTTAAGATAGAGTTCAATTTTCACTTTTATATTTGATAAAATATTTCATATAGTACATTGCATATAATAGGTTTTTGGTATCTGTATATTCTACATACAGGAGATACCAATTTGAAGGAATGTATGTGTAATTCAATGCCTATTCATTTGGTTTCTATAATAAGGTATCTCCTATTCCCCAAAAAGATGACCAGGTTTTTTCCTTAAGAAAAAGACTTGCTTTTTAAAAAATTTCTGATTGTTTGATACCCCAGAGATGGCCAATAATATTGAGATTTATCCAACTTAAAGTTACATGTACTATGTGTCAGGCACTTTGCTAGGTGCTTTCAAAAATGAATGAAGACACAAGTCTTTGTCCTAAGAAATTTAACTCTGTGATTTTTAAACTAGAATAAATGAAGCTACAGAGGGAAGATGTGAGGGGATTAGGGAACACCATTTTGACTTCTGTGTTCTCCTTGCTCAAATGTAATTTTTACACTATATGTGGTGACTCAAATTGAACTTTAAAGGATATTTGCTTCCACAGGTAAGAACAGGACATCATGCTCAGTCATAATCTCTATTTTGTGAGAGATATGTACCAATCCCTTGGCGCCATCCTCCCCAACAGCCATGGCAAATAATTCCACTTTCAGGTCTGCCTGCAAACCAGCTGCCACCTGAAATGCACAATGGAGCTTTAGAATCAGACATACAGAAGTTCAAAATTTTAACATGATTTTGAGCAAGTTATTCAAACCTTCTAACCTAGCTTCCTCATCTATCAGTTTGGCACAAACGAATGACTGCTGTTCTGGCATTTAGAAGAATTACTTCATGGATTAGTTAGGTACATTTCCATTGAGTAAGTGGGACCCAGGATAAATTGAAGGAGAAAGCCAGGTGCCATTTAGGAAAAAGCATCAGGAAACTAAATGCCAGGGTGCTGGGGGGGCAAACTTTTATGATGTCTGTAATTGTGCTATTTCTTGAATATCAGTAGCAAGCTTCTATTTATTGTCATCTCTGTAAACAAAGATAAATTTAATCAAAGGTAAACATAAATTTAATCTTAAATTTAAGAGACTGGGTGAATCCCACAATTCCTGTGCCCATGCCCCATGGTTTATCATATTCCTACTGTATGACTTGTAACATGGCAAAGCCAGTAGAGGGAGACAGATTTAGTTTAAATGCCAAACTGGTTAGATCTGAAAGATACATGGAAGAGGATGTATCAGCAAAAAAGAAACCTGATATACTATGAAGGAGAAACACAGCAAGGAATGGGCTTCTTGCCTTGTCCCCGGAAAAGGACACTAAGTCAGGAAAGAAAGGGTTGTTTATGTTTGGAAGCCACCTCCCTAGGAGGTGGGTTAAAAAGCCAATGTGAGAACAGTTATCTGGAAAAAATAAATCAGGAACTACCACATGGGAAGCAATTAGGTATGAATACAAATTTTTTTTCTTCAATTGGGTTTTATAAATAATAGAATTGAAGAACGTTTCCGTTTTTTCAATGCTGTGTTTGTGGACGTCCACACGCTGGAGGGCATCCGGCAGCTTCTGAGAACCAGGCCCTCAGCCCTCCAAGCCCAACAATCGGAGCAGGGCTGGGGGATGACGCTGCACGAGGGGAGCTGGACGGCTGCCACAACACAGGTCTACCCGGGGTTGGAGTGCGTTCATGTAGGGCTGGCAGTGAACCAAGCTGAACAGGGCTGAGGTTTAGATACAGACAAGTCTATAGGCTACATTTTTCTGCCAGAGCCAAAACTACCATCAGAAAGAAAAAAGGTATAGAGTGAGTTTGGGTTTTTAGTATGTATAAAGGTTGATCTAGCAGTCATTTAGGGTTTTGGCCTAATCCCTACTTAAAATGAAAAAGATTTGCTAACTTCCCAGAACAGTGGGAGAAAAGCTTGCTTTAACTGTGTTTTTGCTTTATGTTGTGAAGATTCTGAAATTCTGACATGGGACAGTGATGAAGTGATTCAGAGAGGTACTCGTAAATTAGTGGATTGAAGCCCCAAAAGGATTTCGGTTTTGAAATTGCAGCCTGCATATTACTGCTTTATAGATCATAAGATATTGGAGCTGCAAGAGGGCTAAGAAATGATCAGTCTAAGCTCCTTCTTTTATAGATGAGGAAAGCAAGGTGCAGAGGATTAACCAGCAACATCACAGAGCTGCTTGGTAGCACAGTTATAAGAAAGCAACTGACTTTGTGCTACAGCCAACCAATTCTTCTGTGTCAACACATAGCAACTGTGACTGCTTTAAGATCTCGGGATTCAGTCAGCACATTATGGGGCTGGATGTACTTGCTTAGAGTTCCCATGAGCCTGTGCAGTCCCCATCGCCGATGAATGGTTCATTTATCTACCAGTCTTCCTTATACCATCTGTTACTCAGTCACACATCTCTTGAGTGCCTGCCATGTGCCTGCTTTGTATACTTATGTGTCTCACTCATTTTTAACATCTCCTGTACCCTGGCACTATTGCTGGCATATGAGAGGAGCTCAAAGCTTGTTAACACTCTTGTCAAAGCAAGAGAGTGTTAAAGCAAAAGATGATACACTGACCAAGAGATAAAAGTCAAGGTTGATGAGTGTGATTTTACTATATTTTGAGATAACCTCTTGTTTAATCATATTATACCTCTGAAATTATATTTTGAAGTCAGTGGCAATACACATTTTATACTAAATATAATGTATCAAATAAAATCAGAATAGTTTGACATTTTAAAATTCACATTTTCAGAGATTTTTGGAGAAATGAGACAGATGGTTAATTTAAATATGCTACTATTTCTTAATATGTCATTACTATTCTCTGACAAATACCAGGAGAGCAGATCAGATTTACATAAAATGTAAAGAATGAAGTATTTATTTTTTCCAATGACTTTTCACTTTGCAGAAGGATTTGTCACAGGGTATCTTTAGGTAGTCAGTTTACCAAATGCATGTTAAATCATATTTTAATTTTTTTAAAGGTATTCTCAGACAACTGTATAGAACTGCAGTATCGGGGCAAGTGCAGTGAACTTCAGAAATGGTTCCATAGCTGGAAGTTTAATTCTACTTATGCAGAGGAGTGCTTATGGTTGTTACAAGAAATAAGTAACAACGGCCAGAGAGTATACCAGTGCCAAGAACCTATTGCTTATGATACTAGAAAAAGTCGACTTATAAATGGCTTAAACCAAATTGGTAGAATGGCATAAAAGCTCACTTCACTGGAAACATATACATATCTGTATGCACACACATACGGACACACACAACACGTAGCACATGGACTTACGGGTCCAGGTTTGTAAGTCACTTTCAGTCCAGTGCTGGGTGGCGGCTGCTTCACCCTAAACCTACCAGGAAAAAAAGATGGGGATAAATTGATGCCATAATGAAAAACACGAGCACAAATGAACTGGGAAGTAATAAAATCAGGAAGGTGTTAATATTGGCTACACGGGAGTAGGGGGTCCAGACTAGTAGAAAAATAGTCTAATATCCAGTTGGAAGGAGAATCTGGGGCTTGTTTCACAGCTGCCTTTCCAACAGTTTTCATCGGCGTCAAACTGACTCCAAACCGGGTTTCAACCCTTTGTTATCGGATGCTGACGAGCAGCTTGGGCCTGGGCAGAGGGTTGTGAATATTTGGCTGGCGTGCGCACTGCAGCGTAGCTGCCAGCATGAACACAAATGCTGACTGCCAGATCATTAAGCTGAAGAATAAAGGCTCTTTTGGAAAGCAGTGGAGCGTGGGAGCCAGTCTTGCTCTGTCGTGGTATGGGGTTTGCATGTTTGGCGAGAAGAGAAACAGAAAAGGCTCAGAAAACGTAGGAGAACTTGAAAAGCCCTGGACTCACACATGGTACTTGTTGATCTCTTCCCCTTCCTGTGGTTTGTGGGCTCTGCCTGAAGGTTAAAGACCTGGAGCAAATTAAAATGCCAAGGGCAGTCTATCTCCATGTTGACCCCAACTGGGTTCCCTCTACCATCCGCTTTGCTGTCTGCCCTGTAGTGGCTGAACTGAACAAGCTGAGGAGTGAAATGTAAAAAACTAAAATTCTGTACTGGACACACAGGGTCTCCTTGGGTGAGTTTAACGAAGTTTGAGGTTGACTCTCTATTTCTTCCCACCCATTTTGTGGCAACAACCCCAAAAAGCAATGATGTCTGATCTGGTGGTGTGATGTCCTCATCAAGTTTTTTCCAAGGAAGTGAACGTGATCCCTGAAGTTGAGGACGTGCCTCAACTAAAATGGGACAGTGATCTTCTCAATCAGATGTTCCTGTAGCTATGCGCTGTCTAACTTCCAATCCTGAGCCCAGAATCATAAATGCTCTCAAAGAACTTGTTAGTGACACTGAGAATAACTCTGCATTCTGAAATATACGTTATCCCATTTTTATAGGGGTAAAGTTCCCCACAATCCTGATGCTTACTACAAAATTGTACAGAGGAAAATTTGTAATTGGGAATTGTCTTGGAATAGATGTATGATACATGGACCCAATGGGAAGGACTGATTTCCCACAAGAAGCAGTGACCACAGCTGTGTTGATAAAGCAAGGTGCTCCAATGAACTGGCACTCAGGGGATCAGAGATCTACCCTTGCTGAAGCCTATAAGACCTTTTAAGACAAGTTACTCAGTTCCTTTATATCATAACAGTCTCCAAGATCTATACACACTCTAAGATTCTATTGGTTTTGACCTGGAAATGAAGGACTGAAGTGACTTTCTTGTCACTTCATGCCAGATAGGGTATATTTTCTATTGGGAATACAGACTGTGAGTTATGTTATTTGCTGTTAATTCCGAGTCACATCATTAGAGTCAAAGTGACCTTGATGATTAAGGGTTAATTTTTTCCTTTTTGCCTCAATCATGCAGAATTAACATAATTAAAATCATGTTTAGATAACAGTGTCAACAAATATTAGCTGGTGTTATAGTTGGTGGTAGATTTGAGAAATGGACTTTCAAGTTTTCCACATTAGTTATTGTTTTGTGTATCATTTATTGTAACACTTGTACAACTTCTCTTTGATTTTTTTCTGGGACATACCAGGTCTTGAGGTGCTCCTACTAAAGTAAGAATAATCATTAATAGTAAGGCAAAGAAATGGTTCTTCCCTGATGGCTCAGCAGTAAGGAATCAGCCTGCAATGCAGGATATGTGGGTTCAACCCTCGAATTGGGAAGATCCCCTGGAGGTTATCAAACTGGCAAACCACTTAGGTATTCTTGCCTGGAGAGTCCCATGGGCAGAGGAGCCTGGTGGGCCATAGTCCAAAAGGTCACAAAGAGTTGGACATGACTGAGCAGCATATAAAGAAATACCTACTATATAATTGAGGCTTGGGAAATACTTATTTGTTGAAGAATGAGTGAATAGATGAATTTGTAAATGACTGAATGAATGATGCTAAGATTCAAGAGTTCAGGTGTAATTACAGTTCAGTCCAATAAACATTCACTGATGTAGGCTACCAAAGAAAAGTCACAGAGCAAGGGAAGGTGATCTGAGCATACACCTGGAGCCTTGGCCTCACCTGCAGAAGTCTACTCCAACATTCTTGAGCTTTACGGTGGTGGCATAGGTGTGTCCTTCTTCGAGCACTCCAAATTTCACTGCAGGTGGGAGAAGATGGAATCCAAAGGGAGATGCATTTATATTATTAATGGCAGCAGATGCCACAGAGGATGTTCTCACTCTTCCTCCAACAGAATCTTGTCCCTTCATTGAAAAAGAAAAAAAGCAATAAAACATAATAAAATGGTTCTATTTTCCATTCCCAAGATAATAAAGACATAAGTGACTCATGTTTGATCCCTGGGTTGGGAAGATCCCTTGGAGGAGGTAATGGCAACCCACTCCAGTACTCTCACCTGGAAAATCTCATGGTCAGGGGAGCCTGGTGGGCTATGGCCTATAGGGTCGCAAAGAGTTGGACATGACTGAAGCAATTTAACATGCAAGATAATAAAAAGGCTCTGGCTCTACACACATACCCCGCCCCCAGGCCACATAGCAAACCATGCAGCAAGCCTCCCCTGCCCTACAACCAGCCTTTAGTCACCACACAAGGCACAGCCTTGCAGACAACTGAGTCAGGGCCCGTTTTGCCTCCAGCATGCCCACAGCAGTAGGCTCTACCACAACAGAAAGCCTCATGCAACCCACATAAGAACACCCCTCAACTACACAGCTCTGGTGACCAGAGGGAAAAAGGATGCTGGGCCCATGGGACATCTACATGAGCTGCTTCTGCAAGGTCAGACAGTGTATTATTTCCAGACACATGAAAATAAACAGAGAGAACTGGGCAAAATGAGGAGGCACAGGAATATGTTCCAAACAAAGGAACAACACATAACCTTAGAAAAAGAACTAAACAAAGTAGAGGTAAGCAATCCAGCCAAAAGAGTGTTCAAGATAAAGATCATAACAATGCTCACTAAACTCAGGAGACGAATGAATAAATACAGTGGAAATTTCAACAAAGAGTTATAAAAAATAATAACTGGGGGTGAAGAATACAGTAACTGAAATAAAAATTGCACTAGAAAGAAAACAGTAGTTTGGATGATACAGAGGAGTGGATCAGCAACCTGGAACACAGTAGTAAAAATCACCTAAGCTGAACAGAAAAAAGAAAAAAGCAAAATAAATAAATAAAGATAGTTTAAGAGACCTCTGGGACAATATCAAGCATACTAACGTTTGCACACAGGGGACCTAGATGGAGAAGAGAAAAGGGGGTGGAGAACTTAACTTGAAGAAATAATAACTGAAAATGTCACTAACCTGGGAGGAGAAACCAGATATTCAGGTCCAGGAAGCACAGAGTGTCCCCAACAGGACTAACTGTAAAAGGCCCATTCCATGACAAATTAATTAAAATACCAGAAATTAAAGATAAAGAGGGAATCTTAAAGAAGGAATAGAACAGCAACTCATTATGTACAAGAGAACTACCGCAGGACCATCAGCTGACTTTTCAACAGAAACGGTACAGACCAGAAAGGAGGGACATAATACATTCAAAGTGATGAAAGGGAAAAATCTACAACCAAGAATACTCTACTTGGTAGGGCTATCACTCATGTCTGAAAGAGAGAGAAAGAGTTTTGCAGACAAAGCTAAGAGAGTTCAGTGCCACTAAACTGGCTTTACACAAATGTTAAAGGGACTTCTCTAAGAGAAAAGGCCACAACTATAATTACAAAAATTATGCAAGGAAAAATCTCACTGACAAAGACAGATACATAGTAAAGGTAGTAGATCAACCACTTGTAAAGCCAGCAGGATAGAAGGTTAAAGGATAAAAGCAGTAAAATTATATATATTCACAATGAGGAGTTAAGGGGTACAGAAAACAAAAAGATGTAACACAGCTGACATCAAAACATAAAATGCGTGTGTGTAAGGGGAGAGATGAAGAGTTGTTAGAATGCATTCATACCCAGGAGATTATTAACTTAAAATAATCATGTGTATGTATGTGTATATATATATGTGTGTGTGTGTGTATATATATATATATATATAGCTACATGTTATAATATATGAACCTCATGGTAACCACAAACCTATAAAATATACTCACACAAAAAAGAGAAAGGAATCCAAACATACACTAAAAACAGTAATCAAAGGGAAGAGTCTAAGAATGAACAAAAAAAGAACTATAAACACATGAAAAAAATGAACAAAATGTTTATAAGTACATACCTATCAATTATTACTTCAATGTAAATGTACTAAATGTTCCAATCAAATGACAGAAAGTGGTTTAATAGATAGAAATCATGACCCATATAAATGCTGCCAACAAGAGATTCACTTCAGATTTAAAGACACAGACTGAAAGGGAAGGGATGGAAAAAGGTATTCCATGCAAATGGAAACAAAAAGAACGCCAGAGTAGCAATACTTACATCAGGAAAAGTAGCTATTAAAACAAAGACTGTAACGAGACATATAAGGACATTATATAATGATGAAGCTTGTAAATAAACACATGCTTTTATGGTTAGTCTATGACAAAGGTAAGAATTACAACAGGAAAAGATAGCCTTTTTAACAAATGGTGTTGGGAAAACTGGACAGCTCCATGCAAGATAATCAAAGTGGACTACTTTCTCACATTATATCCAAAAATAATACATAAAATGTATTAAATACTTAAATACAAGACCTGAAACTATAATACTCCTAGAATAAAACATAAACAATATGCTCTTTGGCATCAATCTTGGTAACTTTTTTTTTGTTATCTGCTTCTTCATGTAAGAGAAACAAAAATAAATAAATGAGACTACAACAAACTAAACATTTTGCATAGTGAAGGAAACTATCAACAAATTACACATTGCAGTACTGAATGGTAAAGGATATTTGTGAACAATATATCAGACAAAAGGGTTAATATCCAAAATATTCTTGCCTGGAGAATCCCAGGGACAGAGGAGCCTGGTGGGCTGTCGTCTATGGCATCGCACAGAGTCGGACATGACTGAAGCAACTTAGCAGCAGAAGCATCCAAAATATACAAAACATTCAAACAACTCACATCAAAAAGTTAAGCAACCCAATTAAAAATTGGACAGAGGACCTGAAAAAACTTTTTTTTCCCCCAAAGAAGACATACATATAGGATAGCTAACAGATACATGAAAAGATGCTCAGCATGACTAATCATTAGGTAAATGCCAATCAAAACCACGAGATACAACCTCATGCCTATCAGAATGGTCATCATCAAAAAGATAGCAAATAGCAAGTGTTGGAAGGATGTGGAGAAAAGGGAATCCTCATATACTGTTGATGAAATTGTAAATTGGGGCAGCCATTATGATAAACAGCATAAAGGAAATTTAACAGAAACTACCATATGATCCAGCAATTTTACTTCTGGATATTTACCTGAAGAAAATAAAATTATTAATTTGAAAAATTATATCCACACCAATATTCATTGTAGCATTATTTATAATAGCCAAGATATGAAAGTAACATATATTTAAATGTTCATTAATAGACAAATAGAAAAAAAACATGTGATATATATACACTATATATGAATATTATATATATCTTACATATATATATATACACACACAGAATATTCCTCAGCCATAAAAAAAGAAGTCTTGCCATTTTCAACAACATGGATGGATCTAGAGGGAATTATACTAAGTAAAATAATTCAAAGAAAAGGCAATATTGTATGTCACATATGTAGAGTCAAAAAACAAAACAATCAAATGAAATAAAAATGAAAATAGACTCAGATACAGAAAACAAATGGGTGGTTGACCAAAAGGAAGGGGTTGTCAGGATGGAATAGGTAAAGCGGATTAAGAGGTACAAACATCCAGTTTATAAAATACATAAGGCACAGGAATGTAATATAAGGAATACGGTCAATAATACTGTAATAACTCTGTATGGGACAGATGGTTACTAGACTCATGGTGATCATTTCATAATGTATGCAAGTATCAAATCTCTATGTAGTACAAATGAAACTAACATAATATTGTATGTCAATTATATTTCAGGTAAATAAAGGCTCTGTCACTGGAGGAAAATAACTGCTTGGCTAGGGGAGGAAATGAACATTTATGGTCTATGTAATCCTTATCACAGCACAGTAAGGAAGTATTTTAGGCTTTAAGGATAGGGAAGTTCAAGTTCAGAGAACTGGAAGACAGATAACTTGCTGAAGTGGTAAGTGGCAGACTAAAGTTTCAGACTCAAGTTTACCTGGTTCCAAAGTTGGTGCTCTTCCCTCTGTGCCTGTGATTATCATACTTTAACTTCCATCAGAACCACCAGGAGGACTGGTTAAGACACCAATTGCTGACTCCACTCCCAGAGTTTCTCCATTAGTAAGTCTGGGATGGGGTGGGGTAGAGCAGCGGTCCCCAAACTTTCACAGAATACTGTCATGGAAGACAATTTTTCCACAGATGGGGCAGGGGTAGATAGGGATGGTTTCTGGATGATTCAAGTGCATTACATTTATTGTGCACTTTACTCTTATTATTATTACATCAGCTCCACCTCAGATCATCAGGCATTACATCCTGGAGGTTGGGGATGTCTGGAGTAGAGAATAGGTAGGTGCAGAGGGGAAGGGCCTACAAAGATAAGGGAAATCTGCTCTGCAGAGGAGCACCATCTACTCAGAACAAATTGCTGACTCCACCTCCCAAGTTTATCCACTAGTACGTCTGGGATGGAGCCCATGAATTTGCACTTATAACAACTTCTCAGGTGTTGCTGATGCTGACAGTCAAATTGAGAACCATTGTCCTATGCGGTTATTTCCCAAGTCAGCAGAACTGACTTCACCTGGGGGCCTGTTAAAACTGCAGAATCTCAGGCTTCACAGCAGACCCAGTGAGACAGAATCTGTATTTTAACAAGGTTCCTAAATAACTCACATGTGCATTAAAGTTTGAGAAGCACTCCTACCACATGTCAGTTATACACACTGCAGTACATTCTCCACAGCGTGCCATGAAATTTCTAAAGGATGACTATCAAAACTTGGTTGGTGGGCTCTAGGCAAGTCTTCTGACACAGCTGAGATGGATCTTAGAGACTCTGAGGAAGGAGTCTGGTACTTTGAAAGAACCAATAGAAGGCCACAATGCAGGAGGTATAATGAGTCTGGAAAAGCATGAGGGGAAAGAAGCAAGTGGAGGCATGCTTTGCAGTCACACTAAGTCATCTGGATTTTATCCTGAGTCATGAGAAAGGTGCCGAATGATCCCCTTAGCCAGCAGTGGGCTGGTAAACTGGCTCTTGGAAAAGAACCTTCTTCAGTAGCCTCTGCCAGTTTCTATGGCATAAGAACTCCAGGCACAGCTGACTGCAAACTGCCTGTGATTTAGTCGCTAAGTCATGTCCAACCTTTCTGCGACCCCATGGACTGCAGCCATCCAGGCTCCTCTGTCCCTGGGACTTCCCAGGCAACAATACTGGAGTGGATTGCCATTTTCTTCTCCAGGGGATCTTCCTGACCCAGGGACTGAACCCGAGTCTCTAGCACTGCAGGTGAGTTCTTTACCACTGAGCCACCATGGGAGCTTACCGACTGCAAGCTAGTGATGGCTTAACAGCTGACTCATACAATTCCTCTCGTGAGCCTATGAGTTGGCTCTAGCAAAGCACTGCCTTGGTTTACCCCTGTGTGACCTGAAGCCCTTCATGTTGAGATGGTTCATATATCAAATAGCAGTTACATGGTGGCTGGAAATTAGTAACTTCAATCAACCCGGAATACATAAAACTCTAACTGGCTCTGGCAGATTTATTCCCAAGCCCGTTTTACCTTTGCGAGAGGCTGAGACTTGGGCTTGGAACTCAGCAAGTAGTGAGGTAGCCTCACTTTCTCTTTTCTTGCTTGTCCTGCCACATCCTGCAGCAATGACTGGGTTGGAATTTTCAGAGGCACACACGATTCTGGTTCTGTTAGAGAGAAGACTGAAATTACACCACGTGAACATTGTTTCCAAAGACATTCAAGGTCATACCAGGGCGCAGAAGAACACAGAACCAACTTGGGACATTTTCTTTTTTCTTAAAAAGCTTGTATACTCTCCACAGCACCATGGACTGTAGCCTGCCAGGCTACTCTGTCCATGGAATTCTCCAGGCAAGAATGCTGGAGTGGGTAGCCATTCCCTTCTGCAGGGGATCTTTTCAACCCAAGCATCGAACCCAATACCACCTCCCATAATGGATGAATTACTATTCACTGAACCTACATAGGGCTTCCCCAGGGATGGGGATAGAAGAGGGGGTATTTGAGGGGCTTGAAGCAGCAGCTGGTCATCAACTGATACAGAGGAATTTTAGTATTTGAACACCTGGGATGGTCCAACTAGTGGTATCATCTGAAATTATGGCCAGACTTCACACAACTGAAGAACCAATAATGGTTCCCTCCCTGATTCTATGCTGAAGTCAACCGTAGTATTTATGCACAATGATGTTTAATTTTTTTTACTTCCTCTCAGAGCATGGCTTCATTTACTTCATCTCTGAGCATGGCTTCCCTGTAGCTGGGGCACATTTCTTTGTCCACTGACTCTAAGTTCGGTCTTAGGACTTGCTCTGACCCACAAATGTATGTCTAAGTGACTGAGCCAGTTCTGAGCGTAAGCTGAGATGGGCCTTATGGCATCCAGTCACATCAATTCATGGCAAATAGATGGGGAAACAATGGAAACAGTGACAGTCCTAAGCACTTGTCTCATGCATGAAACCTGGACTGGAGATCTGTTTCACAATTGATAATATACATGTTTCAATGCTATTCTCTCAGATCATCCCACCCTCGCCTTCTCCCATAGAGTCCAAAAGTCTGTTCTATGCATCTCTGTCTCTTTTTTTGGTCTTGCACATAAGGTTATTGTTACCATCTTTCTAAATTCCATATATATGCGTTAGTATACTGTATTGGTGTTTTTCCTTCTGGCTTACTTCACTCTGTATAATGGGCTCCAGTTTCCTCCACCTCATTGCTGCTGCTGCTAAGTCACTTCAGTCGTGTCTGACTCTGTGCGACTCCACAGACGGAAGCCCACCAGGCTCCCCCGTCCCTGGGATTCTCCAGGCAAGAACACTGGAGTGGGTTGCCATTTCCTTCTCCAATGCATGAAAGTGAAAAGTGAACGTGAACTTGCTCAGTCGTGTCCGACTCTTAGCGACCCCATGGACTGCAGGCCACCAGGCTTCTCCATCCATGGGATTTTCCAGGCAAGAGTACTGGAGTGGAGTGTTATTGCCTTCTCTCTCATCCACCTCATTAGAACTGATCAAATGTATTCTTTTTAATGGCTGAGTAATATTCCATTGTGTATATGTACCACAGCTTTCTTATTCATTCGTCTGCTGATGGGCATCTAGGTTGCTTCCATGTCCTGGCTGTGCTGCAATGAACATTGGGGTACACGTGTCTCTTTCAGTTCTGGTTTCCTCGGTGTGTATGCCCAGGAGTGGGATGGCTGCGTCATATGGCAGTTCTATTTCCAGATTTCTAAGGAATCTCCACACTGTTCTCCACAGTGGCTGTACTAGTTTGCATTCCCACCAACAGTGTAAGAGGGTTCCCTTTTCTCCATACCCTCTCCAGCATTTATTGCTTGTAGACTTTTGGATAGCAGCCATTCTGACTGGCATGAAATGGTACCTCATTGTGGTTTTGATTTGCATTTCTCTAATAATGAGTGATGTTGAACATCTTTTCATGTGTTTTTTAGCCATCTGTATGTCTTCTTTGGAGAAATGTCTGTTTAGTTCTTTGGCCCACTTTTTGATTGGGTCGCTTATTTTTCTGGAATTGAGCTGCAGGAGTTGCTTGTATATATATACATTTTTTGTCTTTTTTTTCCATTTATTTTTATTAGTTGGAGGCTAATTACTTTACAATATTGTAGTGGTTTTTGCCATACATTGACATGAATCAGCCATGGATTTACATGTATTCCCCATCCCGATCCCCCCTCCCACCTCCCTCTCTACCCGATCCCTCTGGGTCTTCCCAGTGCACCAGGCCTGAGCACTTGTCTCATGCATCTAACCTGGGCTGGTGATCTGTTTCACCCTAGATAATATACATGTTTCAATGCTGTTCTCTTGAAACATCCCACCCTCGCCTTCTCCCACAGAGTCCAAACGTCTGTTCTGTACATCTGAGTCTCTTTTTCTGTTTTGCATATAGGGTTATCATTACCATCTTTCTAAATTCCATATATATGTGTTAGTATACTGAATTGGTTTTATCTTTCTGGCTTACTTCACTCTGTATAATGGGCTCCAGTTTCATTCATCTCATTAGAACTGATTCAAATTAATTCTTTTTAATGGCTGAGTAATATTCCATGGTGTATATGTACCACAGCTTCCTTATCCATTTGTCTGCTGATGGGCATCTAGGTTGCTTCCATGTTCTGGCAATTATAAACAGTGCTGAGATGAACATTGGGGTGCACGTGTCTCTTTCAGATCTGGTTTTCTCAGCGTGTATGCCCAGAAGTGGGATTTCTGGGTCATATGGCAGTTCTATTTCCAGTTTTTTAAGAAATCTCCACACTGTTCTCCACAGTGGCTGTACTAGTTTGCATTCCCACCAACAGTGTAAGAGGGTTCCCTTTTCTCCATACACTCTCCAGCATTTATTGCTTGTAGACTTTTGGGCAGCCATTCTGACTGGTGTGTAGTGGTACCTCATTGAGGTTTTGATTTGCATTTCTCTGATAATGAGTGATGTTGAACATCTTTTCATGTGTTTTTTAGCCATCTGTATGTCTTCTTTGGAGAAATGTCTGTTTAGTTCTTTGGCCCAATTTTTGATTGGATCGCTTATTTTTCTGGAATTGAGCTGCAGGAGCAGCTTGTATATTTTTGAGATGAATTCTTTGTCTGTTGCTTCATTTGCTATTATTTTCTCCCATTCTGAAGGCTGTCTTTTCACCTTGCTTATAGTTTCCTTTGTTGTGAAAAAGCTTTTAAGTTTAATTAGGTCTCATTTGTTTATTTTTGCTTTTATTTTCAATATTCTGTGAGGTGGGTCATAGAGGATCTTGCTGTGATTTATGTCAGAGAGTGTTTTGCCTATGTTCTCCTCTAGGAGTTTTATAGTTTCTGGTCTTACATTTAGATCTTTAATCCATTTTGAGTTTATTTTTGTGTATGGTGTTAGAAAGTGTTCTAGTTTCATTCTTTTACAAGTGGTTGACCAGTTTTCCCAGCACCACTTGTTAAAGAGGTTGTCTTTTCTCCATTGTATATTCTTGCCTCCTTTGTTGAAGATAAGGTGTCCATAGGTATGTGGATTTATCTCTGGGCTTTCTATTCTGTTCCATTGATCTATATTTCTGTCTTTGTGCCAGTACCATACTGTCTTGATGACTGTGGCTTTGTAGTAGAACCTGAAGTTAGGCAGGTTGATTCCTCCAGTTCCATTCTTGTTTCTCAAGATTGCTTTGGCTGTTTTAGGTTTTTTGTATTTCTATACAAATTGTGAAACTATTTGTTCTAGTTCTGTGAAAAATACCGTTGGTAGCTTGATAGGGATTGCATTGAATCTATAGATTGCTTTGGGTAGTATAGCCCTTTTCACAATATTGAGTCTTCCACTCCATGAACATGGTATATTTCTCCATCTAGTTGTGTCCTCTTTGATTTCTTTCATCAGTGTTTTATAGTTTTCTATATGTAAGTCTTTTGTTTCCTTAGGTAGATATATTCCTAAGTATTTTATTCTTTTCGTTGCAATGGTGAATGGTATTGTTTCCTTAATTTCTCTTCCTGTTTTCTCACTTTTAGTGTATAGGAACGCAAAGGATTTCTGTGTGTTAATTTTATATCCTGCAACTTTACTACATTCATTGATTAGCTCTAGTAGTTTTCTGGTAGAGTTTTTAGGGTTTTCTATGTAGAGGATCAGGTCATCTGCAAACAGTGAGAGTTTTACTTCTTCTTTTCCTATCTGGATTCCTTTTATTTCTTTTTCTGCTCTGATTGCTGTGGCCAAAACTTCCAAAACTATGTTGAATAATAGTGGTGAGAGTGGGCACCTTTGCCTTGTTTCTGACTTTAGGGGAAATGCTTTGAATTTTTCACCATTGAGGATAATGTTTGCTGTGGGTTTGTCATATATAGCTTTTATTATGTTGAGGTATGTTACTTCTATTCCAGCTTTCTGGAGAGTTTTTTTTTTTTATCATAAATGGATGTTGAATTTTGTCAAAGGCTTTTTCTGCATCTGTTGAAATAATCATATGGCTTTTATCTTTCAATTTGTTAATGTGGTGTATTACATTGATTGATTTGCAGATATTAAAGAATACTTGCATTCATGGGATAAAGCCACTTGGTCATGATGTATGATCTTTTTAATATGTTATTGGATTCTGTTTGCTAGAATTTTGTTAAGGATTTTTGCATCTATGTTCATCAGTTATATTGGCCTGTAGTTTTCTTTTTTTGTGGCATCTTTGTCTGGTTTTGGTATTAGGGTGATGGTGTACCCATGAAATTAAAAGACACTTGTTCTTTGGAAGAAAAGCTATGACCAGCCTAGACAGCATATTAAAAAGCAGAGACATTACTTTGTCAACAAAGGTTGTCTAGTCAAAGCTATGATTTTTCCAGTAGTCATGTATGGATGTGAGAGTTGGACTATAAAGAAAGCTAAGCACCAAAGAATTGATGCTTTTAAAATGTGGTGCTGCCTCTTACACTGTTGGTGGGAATGCAAACTAGTACACCCGCTATGGAGAACAGTGTGGAGATTTCTTAAAAAACTGGAAATAGAACTGCCATATGACCCAGCAATACTACTTCTGGGCATATACACTGAGGAAACCAGATCTGAAAGAGACACGTGCACCCCAATGTTCATCTCAGCACTGTTTATAAAAGCCAGGACATGGAAGCAACCTAGATGCCCATCAGCAGAA